AGAAAGAAAATAGCAAGATAAAAGGACAACAGCAGATGTGGTTTCCATGTCGGGGCTGAGCCAGGAACAAAGATTGACATTGTTGCAAGAGGAGGATGGGGTCGTGAGGAAACGTTGCAGGCGGTGCCAACCTCAGCTTTGTCCCTACACATAGGGTGGTGCTGACCCTGCAGGATTGAATCTCTCCTCTCGGCTCAACGTTCACAAAGAGCCCGACCCCTCCTCGTGGAAGATCCCCTGGCGGCAGGCCTGTCCAGTCATTATTCCCGGGGTCAGCCGCATGACGTCAGTGGACATCATTTGAAATGTCCTTGATCTTGATATTGCAACCACCAGCGTTTGTAGAATGGATTCAGTGGGACCCAAAACTCACCTTGTTGGCCAACCTGGCTCCTCACCTGCACATACTGAGACTCCTGGGGTCGCCTGCAGAAAGGATGCTCTCCAGCGGGGAGGCCCACTTTGCAGGAGCGTGAGGGCCGGCAGGGGTGGGGGAGGCCGAGCACAAGGCTGCCTTATGAGGAGAATGTAGGCCTGGGGACATGTGGTTCTGCACTGCCCACAGCACAGCTCTGTGGCCTTGGTCTGGATCGGCGCGTCCAGACAGCTCAAAGCAGGGCTTGTATGACTGGGCCGGGCCGAACAAAACGCTCTCATTTATCCCAGAGCTGTGTAAATAAAAACCGTGCAAAATAAGGGGGCCTGGAGCACTCGGCTTTGGCTGCATCTACTATACCAGCCTGCCTCAGATCCTATCTTCAGCTCTGGTCTTTTCCTATGGGAAGACCCCAAATCTATTTGAAGGAGACTTGGCGGTCAAGTTGCTCATGAAACAGGTTTTGGGGTACAGATTGGTCGGGGCTGAGTTTAGCTGGTGAGAGGTTTCTGGGCCTGGATACTCTTGAGCCCATTGAGTCTAATCCATCCCAGGGTCAGATGTCCCTCAGGTTAAAACAGTGGAGTCCAGAAACATCCTCGATCGGCCACGACAAGTCCCCACGTGGGCTGCAGGCCTGTAAGGCCAGAAAAGCATCCCTCGGGGAAGTACTATGGTTCCTTTTTTGTTTAGGGGGCCACAGGGCACAGAATTGAGAAGGAAGCAACGGAGTGACTGCATGGCTCGTAGGCAGCGTTCTCCTTACACGAGTGTCTCCATCCCCCCAGCCATCAGATTTAGGGCCACCTGATCCAGTATGACCCCATCTGAACACAACGAATTACATCTTCAAAGGATGTAATTTCCAAATAAGGTCAGAGTCACAGGCTTCTAGGGTCAAGAATTCAACTCTTTTCCAGGGACAGAATCCAACTTACCACAGGCACCAGTCCGTGGGCTTTCCCAAAAGTCCTCTAAAAAATGCAGCCCTTGGGCCCTGCAAAAGTTCACAGGGTTTGGATAAACTTGGGTCCTTCCACAGGATTAAAATTATTTTAAACAGTGGAGGAGCAGGGACAGGTTCTCTGTCAGCATCAGTAGCTGAATTTACGGAGGGTAGATAGACCTACAGGGAACAGATTTTATACAAATAACCACGTTACAGGGGATCCCTGGGTGGCTCAGCGGTCTGGTGCATGCCTTTGGCTCAGGCTGTGATCCTGGAGACCCAGGATCGAGTCCCGCATCGGGTTCCCTGCAGGGAGCCTGCTTCTCTCTCTCTCTCTCTCTCTCTCTCTCTCTCTCTCTCTATCATGAATAAATAGATAAATCTTTAAAGAAAAAAAAAAAATAACCACGTTACAGCCAGAAGAAGGTTTGGTGTTGTCTCCAGGTCAGCCCAGACAGGGTAGCCTGGCCCCAGGCAGACTTCCTGCTAAGGGTGATGGTCCCCGCCCCGCTCTAGCTCTAATGGGGACACCCACTGCTCCCATTAGCATGCAGAGCACCCTGACCCATGAGAAGGCCTTGCTGGCTGCACGGCCTGCAGGGATGTGGCCACCAAGCCTGTAGCTGCTGCCCGTAAAGGGCCGGTGGCACTGGGGGTCCTGCTCCCTGGTGGCTTCAGACCGCAGAGCGGGGGTGATGCAGCAGTCACACTGGGCCCCCCACCTCGCCCTGGATCATTTCCCTGGGGTCAGGGGAGGAACACAGAGCTGCCACTACAGCCTGAGGCCTAAAGCTTCCCTCCCACCCCCACCTCCACGCTGCTGGGGGCTCTCCATCATCAGAGTGCTGCATGGAGCCACCTCCTGCTGGGGCTACTGCCCCAAGGTGCTCATCGAGGAAGGGCATTCGGTTCGTGTGCAGAGGGGAGAGCAGGAGAGAGCCCGAGAAAGGACGGTGCCAGGAGGTCCGGTTCCGCGCGGCGGCTGCTCCTCAAGTGCCTGATAGCCGCCAGGCCCTTCTCACCCTGCTCTGCAACGAGCCCTGCAAAGGCTCTTTGGAGGACGTGGAAATTAAGGGCAGGGGAGACGAGACAATTCATCCAACGACAGGCAGCAAGAAACGAGAACAGCCCGGCCTCGAGAGAGCTCTCTGCAAAAGCTGGCCATCGCCGGCAGATTCTGACGACCACCTCCTGGGATGGAGCGGGGACAGCACAGGCCCGAGCTCGGAGCTCGGAACCGCCGGGGCCTCCGGACCACGCTGGATGCACATCTCACACCTGGGGCATCCGACACGGCAGCCACGCGACACGGCTGGCATGAAGCTCTCTGCGTGGCTGGTCTGAACTCGGACGTCCCGCGGCGCACAGCTCACAGTGGGGTTCGAGATGTCGTGTGAGAGAAAGCACGTCGACTATCTCCTCCGTAAGTGGTGTACAGGCCACGTGTCCAAAGGATAGGATTGTGGGTGTAACAGTTAAATAAACTTAATTTCAGCTGTGATTTGTTCAATGAGGCTACTGGACGTGGCAAGACGGCACGTGTGGCTCACATGTGTGGCCCGTGTCATGCTTCCATCGAGGGCACAGTTCTGGGTCAGCGTTCACTGTAGTCGGGGCTCCAGGAGCTGCTGTGACAGGTGGCCAGTGCCCGTGGGCAGGTGCTCAACAGGTGCTCACTCCCTCTGCCCTAAACTTGGCCATTCTCAGTATGTGGCTTCGCGGGCACCAGGGAGGTCCTCTCCTGCCAGCCCGCCGGCCAGCAAGGAGAGCGAGAGCTTGCAGGAGGCAGCTCCCAGGACCTCTATTAGTTTGCCAGGGCTGCTGTAACAGAGTTGCACAGACCTGGAGGAGCCAAGGCCCGGGGGTCAGCACGGGAGGTTCCCTCGGAGGCTGTGAGGCAGCAACTTTCCCAGCTCCTCCCCCAGCTTCTACGTGTCTGAACCAAACCTCCTCTTCTTTCTTACAAGGGCTGAGCTGCCTGGATTAGGGACTCGGTTTAACTAATTACACCTGCTACGACCCTATTTCCAAATAAAGTCACATTCTTAGATACCAGGAGTCAAGAACTACAAGTCAGCATATGAATCTTGGGGCGGGGGGGGGGGGTGTGTGGAGTGCAGGCAGTGTCCAGGCACGGCACACACCACCGCCCACATCTCAGGGACGTGGCTACACTCACTGGAGGGGCCGGGAACTACAGTGGTGCTGGTGACACCGTCGCCCCGCCAGCCAGCTGCAGGTGGCACACCAGCCAACGGTAGCATCCACACCATCCCGGAGGCCCTGGGTCACAGGCCAGGGCCCAGAGGAACTTATCTGCTGATGAGGGGTGACAGTGGGGCCCATCCCTGCATCCTTCAGCACTAAATCCCAAGCTCTTCCCATGCTGTCATCCATACCAGTCCTTTCTCTTTTTCTAAAATTTAACTTTAATCGTAAATTAATTATAAATTAAGCTTCAGTATATGACTTATTATATATTATTGTATTAATATACAGATTAATTTTAAAACGTCATTTTTAGGGATCCCTGGGTGGCGCAGCAGTTTGGCGCCTGTCTTTGGCCCAGGGCACGATCCTGGAGACCCAGGATCGAATCCCACGACGGGCTCCTGGTGCATGGAGCCTGCTTCTCCCTCTGCCTGTGTCTCTGCCTCTCTCTCTCTCTCTCTCTCTCTCTCTGTCATAAATAAATAAAAAAATTAAAAAAAAAACAAAAAACGTCATTTTTAACTATGAATGCATCGTTGAGAAATTGAACCATACGTATATGGTTAAAATCAACTGAAACAGTACAACATCAGAGTAACTCCTTTTATCAGTTTGATGGTATCTTTCCAGGACTTTTTAAAAAAACCTGCACAAACATCACGGCGCCATTCCGTGGGTGAGTTCACACGAACGTCTCTTAAGATGAGCATCACTCTGCAAAGTGCCTCGTTTCGTTTCCCCCGAGAAACACTAGTGCGTCGAGATGCACAGCCCTACCCCGTTCCTGTAACTGCCACACGGCATTCCAGCTCGTGCGTTGCGTGGCTAGGACATCCCCAAATTGAGACATTTTAGCTCGTTTTCATTTTCTAAAATTGTTAACGAGGTGGTGATAACCATCCTTGGATCGGCTCCCGGGCAGACGGGCCCGGGCTTTGTTGGAGCCGATGCCAGGAGGCGGAGCTGCCGAGGCACAGGGGCGGCTCTGGGTGAAGATCCGGGAGCCCAGGTCCCGCCACAGGGGACAGATTTGCCCGCTCCGCGACTGGGGTGGTCTCCGGGCTCCAGGAGGGGTGTGCCTGGCATGTGGGCCGGGAACGACTGGGCCGCTGCTCCACGGGGCCCTGGGCAGGGATGGCCTCGCGGACAGGGCTCCAGGACATGCTCTTTGGGCAGAGAGTCTGCTTGAGGCAAGGAAATGCAGATTCAGGGCCAGGGGCTGGAAGGAGAGATCTCCCAGGGCGGGCCAGGACGCCTGGCCAGGATCGTGTTGGGGGGAACGCTGCGGAGCTCCGGGGGCCACGTGCAGTGCGTGGTCTCTAAGAAGGTCCGGGAGCCCCACCTCCCTCGGCTGTGAAGGCAGGCGTGGAAAGGTGCGCGTGCAGGGCGACGGGAAAAGGCCGCGGGCAGAGGCTCACGGAGTCCGCCGTGACACACAGAACAAAGACGTCGGAGGCACCGCGATTCACGTATTCTCTATTTATTATCACAACGAGTCACTCACATCAAGGACTGCATGAAAGGGCGGGTCACGGAGCACCACGTATGAAATGACCCCATCCGCACGCGGCTGCGAGCACAGGCCCACAGGCTGACTTTCGGACACGCGCGCACCCCGCGGGGAGGCGGCCCCAGCTACCACCGTGGCGGATGGAGGTGATTTCTTGTACTTTTTACAATAAGCGTGTACGGTTTTTACAAAAACACAAAAGCTAGGACTTTAATTTAAAAAACACTGACGACAAAATTGTTTTTAACAGACCCGTCAAGTCATCTGGCACGTCGCGGTTCCCTTCTCAAAAGCAGCGCAGACGCCACCACCCAGGTTGGAACCTGCCTCAGGGCCGCCCGCCCCCCAGCGTCTCCCATAACCAGAAGGCGCTGGGGTGTGAGGACCCCCGCCCGGGACCGGTGGGAATCCTGCCTCTTTGCTTTCACATGGTCTATCATTCTAGAAGGCTTTCTCCAAACCGCTCTTCAACCACTCTTTGGAAAAAGTCTCGTTCCCAGGGAACAGGGGGAGGCAATATTTCAGTCACCCCAAATGCAGCCAACGAGCCCCACCTATGGATGTCCATGTGTGGCTTCCTTCCTCCTTTGGGGGTCACCTGCTCAGAGCCCTCAGGCCAATGCGGTTATAGGGCAGCATCCGGCATCACAGCATCAAGACTCTTCTGTGAGATGCCCCCCCAGCATCAGACGCCCATCTGCGCCCCCATCAGGCCTTCAGCAGGGCGACCTTGTGTTCCGGGACTGAGTCTTCGCTGATGTTGTAGGGCTGGATCCCTGGTTCTTGGCTCAAGTGTTTCTCTGCAAAAAAGAAATACGAGGCACGGGGAACGGTCACAACACAGAATGCGATTAAGGGCTGGTGCTCAGGGTCCCGGTGCACGGGGAGTTGGGGTCTCTCCAGCTGGCACCCCCGCTGGAGTCCCTGTCAGCGCCTCCTCACGTTCCACGCCCAGGTAACCCTCCCTTAGTGCCGGTGGCCCCCCCACTGGGCCTTGTGGGTCGGCGCCTGAGTGGCTCCTCGTGGCCACACGGATGGACTCAGACACCGCCGTGAGCCACGGACATCAGCCACAGAGTCTCTATGCTCCCGGTCACATGCAGTTCCACAACAGGTGGAGCTGAGCCACGGTGGAAGGGACCAGAACAGTGGCTGTCCCAGGGGGTCATGGGGAGGGACAGATAGAAGGGTACGTCGCACCCGTGCACACCCGGCTGCACCCACCTGTCAGAACTCCAGGCGCAGGTACACACAGCGTAATTACAAACACGCCCTGACGTGACTCCCCAGAACAGGGGGCCCCCTGACTCCGTACCCTCCACCGCCCCCACTCTGCCCGTGCCCCCACTCTTGCACTTGTGCGCCCCCCTCCCAACTCTTCCGGCCTGGTCTCCCGATCCCGTCGGCTGCGGGCGCGTTGGGCCGAGCGTCTCTCTCTCAAATGACTCCGCCTGCACCCACCTGCCTCTTCCAGGGTGGAGAAGTACTGGACCCCCTTCAGGTCGGCGGACAGCAGCACACGGAGAACGGGAACCTGCGGAGCAGAGAAATCTGAACTCCGGGGGGGGGGTGCCCCTGCAGCAGCACGCAGGCTGGTGACCGCCTCCCTGGAGCCCCCCCGCAGGGACAGCTTCACCTCCACTCAGGCTAGCGGAGACGGGCTACGGGCTACGCCAGCACAGAGATACATTTTACACAATTACTCTCTGAAGCGCACAAAACACAACTCTGCACACAGAGAATGTAACAGTTCCGAGTAGGCTCTGGGGCCAGGTGCTGAGTCAGGAAGCAAGAGGGCCCAGCATCCTCGCCGTGTGACCTTTGGCAGGTCACGGAGCTTCTTGGGACCTGACAGGAGGATGACAACACGGCCACACACCAGGTCTGAGAGTGAACAAAACCCCGGCCAGGGTGCCCTGTTCCGAAACCCACCTGCAGGCCGACAAAGGCGAGGGTGACACCCTGCCTGTGGAAGTCCCCGAGCAGCTCCTCGAGCCCCAGCACCACGGTGTAGTCAATGCTGCAGACGTGGGTACACTCCAACACCGCGCAGCGCGGCGGGGACGCTGCGGAGAAGGTGCAGCCCGTCACGCTGGGTGGGGGCAGCTGCAGGAGGCCCTGGCCAGAGGCCCCACGGACAGTGAGGCCATCGGGAGGCCCACCCCCCAGCAGGCTGCGGGGGGCAGGGTTGGCGGAACCCTAGACAACAGCTGTCTGGGGATGGCAGCAGCTACTTCCTTCGGAGAACAAACAGGCCTCTTTTCTCCCCTAAATACCAAGCCCCGGGGGGGAAGGGATGGGCCTTTAGGAACAAAGACAGGAACATCCTCCCCTGGTGCATGCAGACAGTGAGCACCCACTAGATGCCACTGAGACGCCCCAAGACCTCCTGGAACCTAGAGCCGGTGAGCAACCCCGGTAGCTGAGGACGGGGCCCTGGGGTCCTGCGGAGGCGGACTGGGGTGTGGAGACAGTGTCCAGCACTGGGGGTGACTGCAGCCCACCTCGTCCTGGCCCACGTACCTTCCAGGGCTCGGCTCAGTATCGCCTCCCGGAGGGCCTCCACTGCGGGAAAATGCAGACCACTGGCCGGCTGCAGGACCAGCACCGGCCCCTCTGACACCTGGAGACAAGGGGACAGGGTAGGGGAGAGCCAGTGTGTCCTGGAGGCAAGTCCGACCTGGCAGCTCCTAGGGTGGCCCGTCCAGGCAGGAGGCCCCAACCCAGGCCATTAAAACTGAGGGAAGCAAGAGCGCTGAGCTGACCAGCCCTCAGCCACCCCCCCCCCCCCGCGGCCTCGTGTGTGGCAGGAGCTCAGACCCTTATGGCAAGAGGCTTACGCCCGTCCACAAAGTGAACAGTCACTCCGCAGTGCCACGGGCCAGTCACACCGAAGAAATGCAAAACAACTGAGCCAAGGAGTACTGCCCAGGGCACCTGCACCCCACCAGGCCCCTGAGGCCAGGGGATCCCCCTTTTGGGGAGAATGGATGGGCTGCTACCTGCATCTTGGGTCTGGCCACAGAGTGCAGGAGAATGAGCACGGACACCAGGGTCCCGGCCAGGATGCCATACTGCACCTCCCAGAAGCAGAGCAGGAACGTCACGCAGAGAGGCAGCAAGTCCAGCCCTGGCAGAGAGGGGTCCAGCTGAGGGGTAGTCCCCCCTCGGTAAGCCCCGGCTAGCCCGAGCCCTGGGGGACCTCTGTCTGGGGACTCAGGACCGACGCCAATCATGGGCCACATGGGCTCAGAGACGAGTCAGGGCCACCCCTCCTTGCCTGGCTGAGGGGCCGCTAGGACCCTGCCACCTGGGAGGAGGTCTACGGTGGGCACTGGTCGAGGCAGGGACTTGGGGACAGGGCCAGACTTGGGGACCAGGGAGGCCTTGCGACCCCTCAGGGGCCACGTGCAGACCCTGCATGACACACGTGACCTCCTGCCACAAACAGGTGGGTGGGTCTGGGGGTCAGCGCAAGACTCGGCCGTGACACGTGGCACTCAGACAAGGCCCCATCCTCCTGGGCCTCCGTGCCCTGATGGGGGGCGGAGAGAATCACCGTTTCCCTCCCCTGATGACTCTTGGGGGCTGACGGGAGAGAAACCAGGGAACCCCACGAGTTCCTCAACTGCTTCAATAAATAGAACAAACACTTCTTCCTGTAAAGGCCGCACAGGCTCAGGGGTGGCCTGAGCCACCGGGACTGGGAGAGAGCAGCGGACTGCTCTGTTGGCCACGCTGGTCACCCTGGAAGTCTCCCCTACTCCCCCAGCTGAGCAGGGCTTGGGGCTGTGAAAGGGGAGCAGAGAGAGAAGGATGAAGAGGGAGAGGAGAGATGGGGGGAGGGAGAGGAGAGATGGGGGAGGAGAAGAAGGGGCAAGAAGGGGGAGGAGAGTGAGGGCAGGGAGGAGAAGGGGAGATGAGGGGGAGATGGGAGGGGAAGGGAGGGGAAGGAAGGGAACGGAGAGGAGGGAAGAGGATGGGGAGATGGGACGGGAGGAAAGGGAAGAAGAGGGAGGGGAGAGGAGGGAGAGATGGGAGGGGGGAGGAAGGGGAGGAGGAGGAGGGGAGGTAAGGAAGGAGAAGTGGGAGAGGAAAAGGAGAAGAGGTAGAATGGGGAAGAGAAGAGAAAGGGGAGGGAGGAGGAGGGAAGGAGGGAGAGGAGAGACGGAAGAGAGGAGAAAGGGGGAGAGAGAGAGGAAAAGGAGGATGGAGAGAAGTGGGAGGAGGAGGAGCAGGAAAAGGAAGAAGGGAAAAAGGAGGAGGGGAGGAGGAGGAGAAGTGAGAGAAGGGGGAGGTGGGGGAGGAGGAGCAGGAAGGAGGAGGGGGGCGGGGGAGCAGGGGGTACCCTGAAAGTGGCAGGTTTGCTCAGCGCTGCACGGAGCTGGTCCAGGGTGCTCCTCGCGGCCTGACCCGCGGCCAGCAGGCCCAGCTCCCAGAACAGGGACAGCGCCCCAAGCCTGAATGGGGTCCTGGATGGCCAAGGGGGGGCACACTCCAGGACGCGCATGACAGCCGAGGACGTACGTACTCTTCACGCGCCAGAGCGTCCGGAAGATGCTGGCGTCGAAGAGCGGGGCCACGGCCATGATAGTGACGGCGGCCAGCGCGGACTTGGGGATGTAGTAGAAGGGCGACGTCAGGTAGTCCAGCGACAGCAGCACCAGGGCTCCTGCGGGGAAAGGAGTGCCGGTGACCCCCGACCCTGCGTGTGCACCCTGGGTGCCCTGGGCCCGACGGGGCGGGGTGCTCACCTGTCACCAGGCCCCCGGCTGGGGTGCACACCCCCGACTGGGCGTTCACGGCCGTCCTGGAAGGCAACACGGGGACCGTTGGCGGCTGTGGGAGCCCGGGGGGCAGGGGAGGCGGCCTGGAGGGGACGGCGGGGCTCCGCGGACACTGGCACCGAGTGGGAGCCGCAGAGGGGCACCCTGACCTCCAAGGCCCCCAGTGGGAGGTGGGGTGGGGAGGCAATTGATGTCCCCAGGGTCCCCAGCCTGCGGTGTTGTCACGGCAGCTGGAGCAAACACATCTGCTCCCGGTGACCCTCGTGCACCGACAGGGAGACGCAGGAGACACCATCGAGATGGGTAACGTCCCCCTTACCACACCCGCCACGCACACGTGCATACACGCGTGCACGTGCACATGGAGAGAAACTCCAGATTCCGTCGCCAGCTGCTCCCAGCGCGAACCTGCGAGTTAACTTCCGCTCTGTCCAACCTTCCTCTTTCGTTTTGTGTGTTTGGAAAACCGCATCCGGACCCGAGTCTCCGCCGAAGAACCGGCCCACGAGGACCACAAGGGAGCGGCCACCTGATTCCCACGACACGAGGCCCCTGCCTCACACCCGCTCCCGACCGCCCTGCCGGTGACCGGCGCCGCCTGTGTGGCCCCGGGAAGTAAAGCCGCCTGTCCGCTGGCGTCCACGGGGAGCCGCCGCCCCTCCCGCTGCTGTGGACTGAACGCACGCCGACCGTCTCAGCCACGAGGTGCCGGGCCAGAGCCGTGGGTACAGGCGAGGACGCCGAGTGTGCCCGGGGCCCCCGGGGCGGTGCTCTGGAGGTTGGGGATGTCTGGTACCAGACGGGGTTGGGGCCCCCTTTCTCTTCTCGGCCACAGGCCACTCTGTCCTGCCCTCCTGCCTGGCGAGCGGCCGCTGGTGGCCCTGGGCCTGGGGCTCCGCATGACCCACCGCCTGCTCCAGGCAGAGCGCCGAGGTTCTCGTCCCCCGTCCCTTAGGAACGCGTTCTGCCCTGAGATGCGGCGAGCCCTGCCGTGGGCTGGGAACGGTTAAGGACCAACCACGTGAGGTCACGAAGGACACCAAGCAGCCCCACTCCCGCGTCCCATGGACGCTGATCCAGGGCTGCGGCGGCTGCGCGGGAGAACAGAGCGGCGTCGACAAGTGGGCAAGCGCCCAGCAGGCCCCTCGAGGTGGACGCAGACCGTGTGGCCTGGGCGGGGCCCGCCCGCGGCGCAGGAAAGGAAGAACACGGTCACTCACCGTCCAAAGCTGCCCGTGACCGGGTAGGAAGAGACGAGCGAGCCCAGCATGTTGGTCAGGCCTGCGGAGAAAACGGAAGGAAGAGGTTTATCCACAAGGGGGGGGGGGTGTGAGATAGAGGGGGGTGTGGGGAGGGGGGGGCCGAAACCAGAAAGGAAACAGAAGAAAGAGAGCGAGAAGATTCACCCAGGAGCGTCTGTGTGTCTGCGTCCGTGCGTCTGTCTCAGGAAGGAAAAACCAACCACGATCTTTGCCGAGTTCACGGTGGCCTCACTGGCCCCGGCCCTGCCCACGCGCACCAGGGAGGGGAGCCCACCTCCGTGGGAGCGGCCGAGGCCAGGTCAGGCCAGCAGCCCCACAGGCCGTGCCCGAGGCCAGCTGCCCACCCACTGGGCCCCACGAGCTCCTTCAAACCCACACCCCTCTCGGAGATGACCGGCTGGGGGACAAGGTCACGGCCAGTAAGCGGTCCACCCCTGTGACGCTGACTCACCCACAGCCAACAGAACCTGGCCGGGCCCTGAGGACGGAGGTAACCAGCCCATGTTGATCACGGGTGGCCCTGCCAGCATTGGCTCCCGCTGGGGCCTTCACAAACACCAGAGACTCACACCAAGACGGGGTCACAGGTCCAAGACCCGCTGGAGATGGCGCAGCGTGGGGCCCACTCAGAACCAGGCCCTCTCAGGTCCCACAGCCCAGCACGTGCCCCGAGAGCAGGGCAGACGCCAGTGGGTGTGGGAAAGGCTATGCACAGACCACACGCAGTCACCCCGGCTCCTTACGATGGGCCCTCAGGACTCGGGTGGGGAGCCCTACTGCTCGAGGCACTGCGGACACGTGAATCCCTCCCACCGCGGGGTTTTGGGGGGCCCCGGGAGGCCTCTCGCCGTGCGCCTGCTGGACAGCTGCCCAGCCTCTCCTACGCCATGGCGTCAGCAGCCCTCGTGATCCCCATGTCCACCTCAACCCCAGCTTGGTGGCCACTCCTTGCTGGGCCCGTCAAGGGGGGAGCCCTGTGCTACCTGCACAAGCAGGAATGGGAGGCTCCGAGGGCTACACTTGGGAACTGCTGCTACTGGGCACGGGGAGGTCAGTCTGCAGACTCCACCTGCCACCTGGGTGACACCATGAGCTCCGAGAGGAGCCCCCCAAAGCCCGTGACCCACCCTGGCGCCCCATGCCCTCTGCCATCAGGAGATCCAGCGGCTCAGATCCAAAATGCTGCTGTGAGGTGAAGTGGCCCAGGGGAGGCTCCCGCGGACTCCCCAGGGAAGGACCTAGCACCGCTGCCCGGTCAGACGTGTGCCCTCCTCACCAGGGGCAGGAAGGAAGAGAAGCCTGGTGCCCACAAAACTGAAAACAGTCCCGATAACTGAATTTAAGATTCACATCGTGCCCTCAGAATGAATCCCCAGAGAGGCCAGATTCACGAAGACAAGACAAAACTGGGGCACCGGGCACTCCCATCCACGGGGGGCCCACCCGAGTCTTCACGGACCCGCCTGCCGGCCTGGAGGGAGGCCACGAGCGGGCGCAGGGCATCAAGGTCCCACCTGGCCACGTGCCTCAGCAGTGTGACCCCAGCGGGACATTCCAGGTGTTCCCTGACAGGGACGAGGCTACAGACCTCGGGGTCTGGTATACAGCAAGCGCTCAGGAAGCTTCAGCCACAACGGACACCACGTGTCAGCGGTCTAGTCCCAGTGACTACGCGGAACCATCTGGAGGCTTAAGGATGAATCCACGCGAGTATTTCAAAGGGCCCGGCTCGGGGCCACCTGTGCTGCGGGTACCTCACGGCGCCCATCACTACGACCGCGCGGCTCAGGTGGGACGCGGGGCAGCACGCTCGCGGGCGCTTACCGATGGCCAGCAGCTCCTGGTTGGCGTCAACGCGGTAGTTATTTTGAGAAGCTGAAGAGAAAGAACGATAGAAACATGGTCACCAGGCACCTAAGAAACCATCCACAAGACGAACGCCTCCATTACAGATCCCCACGCACTGTATCACCTGCGTGTCCTAAACGCGGCACGTGAACACGTGCAAAACACGAGCGTACGCGACTCTACACGCGTACGTGTCTCCGTGTCACAGAACAGAGACAGACGTATGGCAACGTGTTCGCAACGTGCAACTGGGGAAGCGAAGGACGGCGCAAGTGATTCGCTCCTTTGTGCTTTTCTGCGCTTCAGACGTTTCCCACGAGACAGATACGTGCTTGTGAGAGAAGGGGAGGCGTCTGAGCTGAGAGATCTCCGACCACAAGCGGAGAGACCAGCAAGTCCCAGCTGAGGCCGTGCAGAGAGGGGAGCCCGCAAGCGTCTAGGGGGACACGGCCGGGGAGGCTTGCACCTGACACAGCGCCTGGCGAATGTTCCCGCCAAGGGCCACGGGCTCTGCGGGCTGGGAGCCGCCGTGGGAGCCCGTAAATGCGTGAGCAAGACCGTGTTCCAGCAGCGCTTCTTTAATTAATTTTTTAAAAAAAGATTTTATTTGTTCATGAGAGACACAGAGAGAGAGAGAGAGGCAGAGACACAGGCAGAGGGAGAAGCAAGCTCCATGCCGGGAGCCCGACGTGGGACTCGATCCCGGGACTCCAGGATCGCGCCCTGGGCCGAAGGCAGGTGCTAAACCGCTGAGCCACCCAGGGATCCCCCCTCTGGAAATTTTTTATAGATTTATTTAAAAACGTCAAAGCCCCTCTTAGGTCGCAGGCAGCAGGCTGAGGTTCTCTGAGCCCTGGTTTTGGAGAACGGCAAGCTTACAAGTTAGGACATCAGGCGACTTCGGGAGAAAACGAAGTTGTAAAACGACAACAGGCACATATGCTGTTGAGATGTAGCCTCCAAGATACCCCCAACACTCCTCCCCTACTCGGAAAAAATCAGAAAAACAAAAACGGCACAAAGACTTGGTTGGAATGTGTGGCGTGACCTCGAGCAGCCACTGGCTGTTAGACGGGACAACCCCTTGGACTGGGCATCAGGCACGGGTGTCCTTGAAGGACGGGAGGCTCGAGAGGCCGCCACAAGCACAAGCCACAAGGTCTGCATGGTTATGGGGACACCCACGCCGTTCATTGGGGTCCATCTTTAGAAACGACCTATATCCCAATGCAACAGGAGCATAACCATCATAGAGCGGGAAAAAAATGCCACCACGCGCACAATACAAAACTGAACACCCCGCAGACCCAAGGGAGGGGACACGCGAGCGTCAGAGCAGCCTCAGCTCTGACAGAGGAATCCCAGTGCAGGGCGACAAATAGGTACTTGGGTACCTGGTGGCCTCCCCGGGCGCTCAGCCAGCTGGGCGGGGCTCACTGTTCCATCTTGGGGGATTTTGGGAACCTGTCGCTAAACACAGCCGATGCTACCTGCTATGTGAGACCTTTCAACAAAATTAATGTCATCAAAAACAGACTTAAAAATTATCCCTTCCTGACATCCTACTTTTTCCTATGATCCACAACTTTATTTAACTGCACGTGTCCAGGGGCGCCCGGGGGGGCTCAGGGGTGAAGCGTCTGCCTTCGGCTCAGGGCGTGACCATGGGGTCCTGGGATTGAGTCCTGCATCGGGCTCCCCGCAGGGAGCCTGCTTCTCCGTCTGCCTGTGTCTCTGCCTCTCTCTGTGTCTCATGGATAAATAAATAAAATCTTAAAAAAAAACAACAACTGCACGTGTCTGGTGGGCAGAGGCCGTGACGAATCTCTTCCTGACTCCACGATCCGCTGGAAGTCGGCGGGTGGGGGCACGTTTACGCCACAAAAAAAGGCAAAGGCGAAACGCAGGCCCTTCTCTTTCCAGAGAGCAGCTGGCACACGTTAGCAGCCGCCACCGGATGGGGTTTCTCATCGTAAAATCCACTTTTACTACAACATGAGCATGTGTTACTTGGATAAAAACTCAAGCTGTTAGAAACCGAAGCAGATAAAAGCAAGCAAAAAAAAGGAGGCAAGCAAGGCGGGCTCCAGGCCACCACCAGGGAGGCAGGGACGGCGGGCAGCTTACCGAAGGACTTGGCCACCGCGATGCTCTCCAGGAGGCCCATCAGGGGCACCACAGCCAGCCCAGCCCCCATGTCCTGAGGGAGGAGAGAGGGGTGGTCAGTGACCCCCGGGGGGGGGGGGGGTTCGACCAGGCAGTGGCCCGCCCAGGCCGCACCGGCTCTCTGTGTCTGACAGAGGAAGGCAGACCTCAGCTGCGGGGTGGGACACAGCAGAACGCAGAACACGGCCCCGCTCTGCCAGCGTCCACAACGCCAGAAACTCCCCTGGGCTTGGGCAGAAACGAGACGTGCTGTCCTTCGAGGCTGTCCCTGCACCCAGAGCCGCTCCGTCCCGAGGACGCCGCCGTCCTGGCGGGGCTCAGGGCTCCTCGTTACAGGCAGACGCGTCAGGGGCCCAGGCCCAGAGGCCACCGCGGCTCAGCCCACCTGTACCATCTCGGTGAAGGAAACTGTCCCGTTGGCCGTGGTCACTGAGAAGGGCGGAGTCCGGACTGGAGGGAGCCCCTCGGCGGTCTGCCCCGTCAGGACGAAAGGCTGGTATCCGGTCACCTCGAAGGAGTAGGCGACCAGGGCGGCAAAGGAGACCACCAGGGCGTTGCGCGCTAGGACAGAACGAGACCCGCTGGTGAAATCTGGCTCCTCTGGGTCCCCGGGCAGTAAATGCACCCGAGGAAGCAGGACCCCCTCCTCCAGCCACGGCGCCTGACACTCCAGCCTGGAAACAGCACATACACTGGCGACTGTGGGGCAGGCACAGGCACGTGACACCACGGCAAATGCAAGACGGCGGGACAGGCAACGGCGACACACGTGGCCTACCCGTCCCAGGCACTGGTCCCCGTGGGCTCTGTCCCTCACCTCTTGCCTGGGCTGCTGCTTCTTTTTTTTTTTTTAATTTTCTTTGTCAGAGAATGAGTGCGTGTGTGCAGCCATGCTCGTACGGGGGGAAGCCCGCAGGAGGGAGAGACTCCCCGGCAGGCTCCACGCTGACCACAGAGCCCACGCACGGCTTGACCCTACGACCCTGAGATCAGGGCCTGAGCTGAAACCAAGTCGGACGCCCAACGACTGAGCCACCCAGGTTCCTCTTGGCCAAGGTGCCACCCTGGCTTCTTATGGGGGTGATACCTCTTCCCAGAATACAAGCCCTGCTGCCCACCCAGCTCTCAAGGGGCTGCGTCGCGCTGTCACCACTGACATCAGGACAGTCATGTCAGCTGTTTACCATCTCCCAGGGCCCCGCTACCCATCGCGGGATGGGAGAGCCACGTGGTTCAGGCAGCACCAGGCGGTCCGTGTGTTTTTTCCGTCAGGCACCTGCCAGGGCATCCCGGCCTCCGCACTGCCCACGTCCCGGCCAGATCCGCCTTCGCCATGGGGGGCCGTGCACGCTCAGTGGCCTCCCCAGCCTCTCCCACCAGAATAGCCTCGCCCAGGAGTCTCAACCAGAAATGACTCCAGACGGTGCCAGCTGCCCCCAGGGCAAAACTCCCCTGCTTGAGAACTCCTGCACCAAATGGGGCTCTCCACCCTGGCTGTGAATCGCCCAGACTGGGGACACGGGGACTCTCTCCGGGTGGGACTCCGGGCCCGAGGTGACCACAAGGTGCACCCCAGGCAGGCAGGACGGCTGGAGAACGTCCTTGGTCAGAACCCCACTTACCTGTTGTTGCAGTCCACACCAGCCCGTGGCTGAGCCGCACGCCCGGGGGCATCTCGGGGTGCACGGGAGGCACGTGGTCTCGCATCAGCTTCAGCACCAGCAGCAGCACCATGCACACCAGCCCCAGCACAGCATCACCCACCCTGCAGACACACACACTGGTCACGCCCAGGCCGGCCCAGGGCACGCACCTCCGCCCTGCCGTCGCCCCTTCTGCCCGAAAACCTCCTCCCTCGATCGCTCTTTCTGCCTTTTCCTAAGAAGCACGTGTCTCTGTTCTACCTCAAAACTTTATTCAAACCTTAGTGACCACACAGGCCAGCAGCGCCGGCCTGGGAGTCGAGGCCCAGGTCACAGCAGTAGGGCTACTGGCTCGTGTTTGCAGAGGCCTGGCTCTGTGGGCAACAGATGCCTCATCTGTTCCTGAAGGTTCATTTCCCACAGCCCATGATGATGTCCTCTAGTCAGCCTCCAATCCCCTGCCCCCCCGAGGGTGAGCCCCACAGGCCGCATGTCCTGGGCCAGGCTGGGTTCAGCCCCGGGAAGCCCCGTGATAGACCAGAGGAGGAGGACAGGACAGTTGGTCACAGGTCTCCCTGACCCCTTGGGCCTCAGCACTGCCCCTCACCCCCTGGCAGCTCTCCCAAAGTCACGGCGTCCTCCTGCTTCTCCTACCAGGGAGATGTTCTGGCTTCCGGCTGGGCTCACCTAGGAGCATCTCCCGCCTGCCCCCTGGGAGAGGCCCTTCATCTGAAGAAACCCCATGACCCCCGTGGCCTGGCTCGCGCCCCCTCCCCCTGCACATCCTGCTGCACCTGCCTCCCCCATGCCCTGTGTTCTCACCCAACTACAAACCCATGGAGCAAGCCTGCTGCTCTTGCCCTGCGTGGGGCCCTCCCACTCCTACCACCCGAGGAGGCTCTGCACAGGGGCACGCGACGGCTCTCAGGCCCCCCGGGGCAGAGCTTCTCGAACTGCAGGGCCTACACAGACTTGCCAGGGCTGCCACTGACCCCTGACTGAGCTGGTCTGGGCAGGGTGGACACTCTGCGTTTCCAACCAGCTCCCCTGTGATGCTTCTGGTACTGCCCTAGGACCGGGTTTGGGCGGCCAGGCCCTAGGGGACTGGAATAAATGCCACCTGGGGGTGGAAATGGGGCGGGGCCTGGGCGAGGGGCTCCAGAGGGAAGAGCTTCCTCACAGGAGGGCAGGGGCCACATGGCCGGCAGGTACCTGGTCTCTCCCACCTTGCGGAAGGTCTGATACACTTGCAGGAAAAACTGCCTCGGGATGTCCTGCAGTCCCAGGAGGTTCTGTTCAAACAGAGTTTGTGTCAGACGACCCTCCCCTTCAGCATCTCCGTACCCCTCAGCCTCCCTCCTGGGGGCACATCCCAAGGCTCTCGGAGGAGTACCTGCCCATTCCCAAAGCCCCCAGGCAGGAGGTAAAAATTCTCGAGGGAAGAGGTACTTCCCGTTTGGGGTCCGTGACCCCTCCTGGTGAATAATCCTGCCTTGCGAAGAAGATCAGTCTGGGTGATTTCAAAGCAGGGAGACCAGTACACTCATGCCTTGGTCCAGGGTCCAGGGTCCAGGGTCCAGGGTCCAGGGTCTTGCCTGCCTGCCCTGTGGGCCCCACTGCCTTAAGCCCATTCAGGGAGGGCCCAGCCCCCTCTCATCACTGGCCCGAGGCCACAACCGTCACCCGGAGGCCAGAGGGAAAATCAGGTAGAGCTGCAGGCAGAACCACCAGGGGCTCCAAGAGCCTCCAGGGAAGGGCCGCTGAGGGACCCAGGCAGGCACGGTCCTTGGAGGGGAGAAGGGAAGTAGACTCTGTGTTTTAATTCTTTATCCCATGTGAGACCTGGTGGGCAGTGTTGGGGGGGCAGCTGAGGCCCAGATCCCGGAGCGGTCAGGCTCCAAGGACCCCAAACCCCAGCACGCAGCCGTGGATTCTGGGATCCAGGGGCTCCTGCCAGGGCAGGTCAGGAGAACCCCCACTCCCGACCCCCACTCTGGCCCAGGGCTCTCAGATAGCTGTCATGACCTAGTCAAGGTGCTAAAGATTTAGGGGACTCGAGCCACCAAGCGCAAGTGCATAAGAAGCTACCTTCTGCGCACCACAATCCCATAAACGAAAGCTCCTGATGCCAAAGAAGGAAAGATATTGTTTCCCAAATAAAGGACAAACCCTCCCACGAAACAGCACTTGCCAAGCTTACCCTGACATATGTGCACACAGAACACACAAACCGTGTCCACCCACACCTTTCTAAGGAGCTCCCTCCTCTCTACGCGCAGATAACGATGAACCTGCCTCGCAGAGGCGTCAGGAGAATCGGCCTCGTACAGGAAGGGTTTAACCCAGCACGTGGGACGTGATGAGAGCGCAGAAAGGGTCAGCTACCGTCCTCTCGCTCATACCCTCCTGCCCCTGACGCTCTCGCTCCACTTCCATCAGGGAGGCCGCCCTGGGCCAGGCCGGAGCACAGCCTGGCCACGGGAACCCTGGCTTAGAGAGGCGGGGTGGTGACACCAGGTCCTGAGACAGGGGTGGGCCTTCATTTGTTCAATCTGGCTCCGCCCCACTCTGCACACCCAGCTTAGCCCTCACCTACTTCTGCACACAGTTTGGGGCAGGGCGGCTGCAGCTGCAAGCAAAACCATTCCTGCCCTTTGGGAACTTAAAACCCAACGAGAAGTGAAAAAATGATGTTCTTGGGTCACTGATGATGAATTCTACTGTTCCCTACAGGCTTCGTTGTCTTAAGATTTTATTTACTTGCTTAGAGAGAAAGTACAAGTGTGGGGAGGAGAAGAGAGGAAGGAAGGAATCCCAAACAGGATTCTAAGTGCAGAGCCCAACATACGGGGTTCGAGTTCACAACCTTAAGATCATGACCTGAGCAGAAGCAGCCAAGAGCCGGGTGCTTTACTGACTGAGCCACCCACGTGCCCCTCTGTTCAGTATTTTTCAAACACCACCTCCTTAGGTTTCTGTTAAAAACACTTATGAAAAAAAAAAAAAACACTTATGAGAGGAATGCCCTGGCAGCTCAGTGGGTTAAGCACTTGCCTTTGGCCCAGATCATGATCCCAGGGTCCCGGGGTCAATCCCCATATCAGGCTCTATGCTCACTGGGGAGCCTGCTTCTCCCTCTCCTCTGCCTCTCTCCCTACTCGTGCTGGCTCGCTTTCTCTGTCTCAAATAAGCAAACAAAAATCTCAAAAAAAAAAAAAAAAAAGGAAAATATGGAATAGAAATCGGGAGAAAAAACATCTAAATGAAATCATCTACCTAAATTAGCATGAGGGAATGATTAGCTTTTCAAAACATTGGCAGTACGCAGTGGGCCGGAGAGGCTGCGCTGGCAGATGTGTACCGGGGGGCAGAACAGAATCACCCAGTGAGGAGAACCAAGCACACTGGTGTGAAAACTCCAACAGGAGTGGGGCTGCAGTCACCAATCACCCAAATTACCTGTTGTGCAGTCGGGCCATCACTCGGCATCTCCCCCGAGGGCTCGTGGAATTGATGGAGACCCGCTCAAGCACCTTGTGCTCCGCCGAGCTCTAGAACAGCACATCACCTGGCCCACACATATGGAACCCAGCGTGGTCCTACTTACCCAGGAGGTGCCTGGGAGCCAACTAGCAGCCTACCTTGATCTGCCCGAAGCCGATGGTGATGGTGGCAGCAGATGTGAAACCTTTGATGACGGGACAGGAGATGAAATCCAGCAGAAAGCCTGACCGTCCAAGAGTGGATACTTAGCTGGTGGCCCCAGTCCACCCAGTCACAGAGCATGTGGGTGGACGGGGGCTGGGAGAGGCGGTCTGGGTGGGAGTGGGGCTAAGGACTGGTGGGCCATACATCTCACTTGGACTGGTTTGGACATTGGGGAAGGGAGGCTAGGGTCTGAGGCCCTGGGCACTTCTCCAAGCGTCCCGGCCTCTAAGCAGAATAGTGGAAGGCCAAGGGGCCAAGGCATCCCCAGGAGGCAGGGGCCTGGGTACCCCGTGGCAGGAAGGCCTGAGCATCTTACCCAAGCGCAGGAAGCCCATGGCTAACTGGATGCAGCCTGATAGAAAGGCCAGCAGCACAGCGTAAGCAGGCTCGTGGAAAGTGTAGAAGGAGACCAGGAGGGACATGATGGCCGTCGGGCCCAGCGTCACATCCCGGGAGGTGCCCAAGAAGAAATACACGAAGCATCCCATGAAGGCAGAGTAGAGGCCGTACTGGTGGGGAGACAGCATTGAGCATCGAGGAGGCGCTCGGCATGCCCACAGGGTCCCCAGGGGGGAGATGTCCGAGCACAGGATCTGTGGTGGTCATTGCACTAGGGGCACAGCAGCACACACGGGAGGGCAAAAGCACTCACTGTGTCAGTCATGGTGTGGGCCTACAGCGATTAGGGGGCCTCTTTTCTCCCCGCCTCCCAGGTGGGTGCCAGCAGGAGCACAAAGGCCTGGGTGCTCGTCAGTCTGAGAGTCTAAGAAAGCGTTCTTGAGACCACGGTGAGTCACCTTGCTGGGCCCATCAGGCAAGCCAGCACTAGCTCAGTGCCTGTGTGTGACAAGTGTGGCGAGAGCAGGTATGGGGCGTGTGTCTGGCCAAAGACAGTCATGTGCTATAGATTGCAAACTAAGACATCGTGGGCCCCATGGGGCTAAAGTTCTGGTGCCCTGCTTGTCTGGAGGCGATGTTATGTGTTTCTGCTGTTTCTGGGCGGGTGACGAGGCTGGAGTGGGGGCAACAGCTGAGGCAGACGTCTCACCTGGGGCGGGAGTCCAGCCACCTCAGCATAGGCCAGCGCCTGGGGGATGACCGTCAGCCCAACGGACAGTCCGGCGATGAAGTCCATCTTCAGCCACTGCACGGAGTAGTCCGGCAGCCAGGCCAGGATGGGCAGGCGCCTCTGCACGGCCGCAGGGGAGCAGCAGCCGGCCGGTGGGGCCATGCTGGCCCCCGAGGGCCTGGCCTGACCCAACGCCTTCACGGAAGAGGGCATGCCTGGGGTGGGCATGGGGGCGACACAGACCAGCGGTCAGGGTCTGGGCTGGTAGAATCCAGCAATAGGGAGGGGTCTAGGGCCACCAAAAGAGCCGCATCTGTCCCCCCCTCCCAGGGGATCTGAGCCAGATGGATTAAATGTGCCCTTCGGCTGGTCTCTAAGGAAGCCAAACCTGTTCAGAAAAGGGGGGGGGGGGCTCAAGAAACGCCGCAGCCCCCACCCTGGCCCCCGCTCACCGCTCTCCCTGAATCCACCTGCCCCAACCCCAGCGGCCTTCTTTCCGCGGATGCTGCCCAGGAGGAATGCGGGGCGCGGGCTCTCAAAGAAAAACTCGAACACGAATTAAGGCACCGCGTCTCTACCCCCGAGATAATTTAGGTCTTCTTTTTCCCTCCCCAAGGAATGTGACCGGGCAGCTGCGCGAGGCGCTGCAGGGCCCGCGGGGGCCCCCTCGTCCGGCTGCGGGGGGCGGGGTGGGGGCGTGGGTGGGGGGACTGCAGGCTCGAGGGCGCCAGGCTTTGCAAGTGCGCAACACGGCGGCTCCACCCGCCACCGCGGACTGCGGCGCCGTGGGGGGTCTCCCCCACCCCCACCGCCACCCCCCACCCCCCACCTGTGGCTTTCGCGTCCCTCCCGAGGCGCAGGGACTCTGGCGGGCTCGCGGGGAGCACCCGAGGCCCCTCCGTCGGCGATTCAGGATGCGCAGCATCCTCCAGGGCCCCGCGCCCCCCGCGCCCCCCGCGCCCCGAGCCGGCCCCGAGCACCCCCACCCCGCACCCGCCGGCCCCCGCCCCGGGTCGCAGGTGGGGCCCCGCGCGGCCGACAGCTCCAGCGAGGGCGGTGGGCACCTGGCGGGGGCGCGGGGGCGCGGGGGCGCGGGGGGCGGGGCAGGGACCCCGCGGGGGCAGCCCGCGCCGCCCCGGCCACCTGGACCTGGGCCGCCCCGCAGAGCTCGCCCACTCCGCCCCGGGCCCCGCTCCCCCCCGCGCGGACTCACCGGGCGCCGCGGCTCGGGGTCTCGGGCGCCGCCGCAGCCGGGTCCGCAGGAACCGCAGAGGGAGGCGGGGGCGGGGCCAGCACCACGTGACCGCGGGGCGGGGCCAGCGCCGCGGGGGGGCGGGGCCTGCACACGTGACCGGGAGGGGCGGGGCCGAGCCGCCGCCATGCGCCGCCGAGGCCGGGCCTGCGGGCTGCTGCTGCTGCTCGCCTTGGGGCTGTGCCGGCCGCACGGGGCGCGCCCCCGGAACGTGCTGCTGATCGTGGGTGAGCGCGCCCCGCCGCCCCGGGCCCTGGGTGCTGCCCCCGCCCCCCCGGAGCAGCCCGGGCCCCCTGCTCGGGGAGCTGCGCGGCTGTGCGGAGCTCGGAGGCTGCAGCCCCTGCAGGGGTGCTGGGGGACGGGCTGCGTCGGGGGCCTGGGGCGGGCGCGGGGGGGGGGGGCTCCCGGCCGTGCAACCCCGCCCCCCGCCAGCCCGGGAGGCTCCTGGGGCTGCAGCCCAGCTGCCCTCTCCCCCAGCCCCACCCCTTCCCGGACACCCCAAGTTCCCCTAGCGCCCTGCTGTCCACGGGGCAGCCTGCGCTTTCCTCCTTCGAGGTCTGGCCTTCTGCCAGATTCACTCTTTCTGATTGACTTTGTGGTCTCCAGCCGGGGCCTCCGCTGATTGTAGCACACCGCGGCTGTCCCCAGGGCTCCCGCCAGCAAGGCCTCGCTGGGGAAGGGTGCCAGGCCTCTGGGGGCCCACCGGAGATTCGTGCCTGCCTGCTGACGGGTTCAGCTGGTTTTCACGCGTGCCCGGTAGCTGGCATTCCCACCCAGGCGTCGTGCCCTTGTGCCCGCCCGGGAAGCACACTGGCCCAGGCCGGCCCGGCCTCAGCGTCTCTGCCTTCCTCAGCGGACGACGGAGGCTTCGAGAGCGGCGCCTACAACAACACGGCCATCAGCACCCCGCACCTGGACGCCTTGGCCCGCCGCAGCCTGGTCTTCCGCAATGCCTTCACCTCCGTCAGCAGCTGCTCTCCTAGCCGAGCCAGCCTGCTCACCGGCCTGCCCCAGGTGAGGGCTGCCGGGGTGCAGGAGGAGGTGCATCCCCTCCCCGGCCTCCCCTGGGGATGTGCCCGCCTTGTCTACCCCACCCCAGCCACGTGGGTGCAAGTACAGGTGGGAGGCAGAGGGGCTCGGCCTGCCTGCCGTGAGCCCTGGCTCCATGCTCTGTGACCGTGAGCAGAGCACCGTTTGTGCACCTCGGTCTTCTCACCTGTTACATGTGGTCACGATAATACCTGGTTCACGGGATCGTTAGGGGGTTGCCCAAGCTTGTACTTTATACTTAAAGCCGTGGGAAGGTGTCTGGCACGCACCTGCTCAGGGTTAACTCAGGTTGTGATATTGTCCGGGAGCTTGAGAACCGGTCAGAGCTGCCCCGGGAAGCCCTCGCTCTGTGCTTGCCGTGCTAGGATAACCACAGGTAACACCCCAGTCGTTTGTGAGTGTGTAGGTCAGTGGCACTAGGTCCGTTCACACCGTCGTGTATCCATCCACTTCCGAACTTCTTCATCTTCCCAAACGAAAGTGCCAAGCCCGTGACCACCACTCCCTGTTCCCTCCTCCGGCCCCTGGCACCCTCTAATCCTCCCTCTGGCTCTCTGGACTCCGTGACTCCAGGTCCCTTACCTGAGTGGAGTCCCACAGTACCTGTCCTCCTGTGACTGCCTCATTTCACTGAGTGAATGCCCTCACGGTCCTCTCCACTCTGTGGCATGGATGGTGGCCAAAAGGGCTAACGTTCGCCATATAGGTGTGGCTCAGTTTGCTCACCCGTCCATCTGTCTGTCCGTGGACAGTTAGGTTGCTCCTGCCTGTGATGATTAGGAATAGTGCTGCTATGAACCCCGGGGACACAGGTACTTGATGTGTTGTCTCATGACATTGTCTCACGGTGACCGCTGTGCTCTGGGTGTCCCCGTCCGGGACACTGAGGCCCGCGGGGAGAGGGAAGCCATGGCCAGTGCCCCGCCACCCCTGCAGGGTTCGTCAGGGGCTGTGGGGCACAGGAGTCGGGACAGGGCTGCTCTGCTTTCTCCTCTGACTCTGTAACGGGCACAACTGTTTTTTTTTTTTTTTTTACACCGTGGAGCACCTGGTTAAGAGGTTTGTTGCTCTTTTTCCGCTATAATACCTGCTTATAATGAAATTTGGGAAGTTCAGGCAGATGATAAAATAAAAGCCATCCCTGATGATGGGTCCATTTCCCCAGTGTGTTGTATTTCTTGTCCCACGGAGGGGGGAGGCCATGAGCACCCCCCCATGCTGGCCACCTGAGTCTGAAAGGCCTCTGAGGGCCGAGTGGAGGGGCTGTGGGAGAGCGGGAGCCAGCCTCATGGGTGTCTCCGGCGCAGCATCAGAACGGGATGTACGGCCTGCACCAGGATGTCCACCACTTCAACTCCTTCGACGGAGTGCGGAGCCTGCCGCTGCTGCTTGGCCAGGCTGGTGTGCGCACAGGTGAGCGGCCTTGTGTCTCAGGAGAGGCCTGGCGGGCGCCCAGGGCCCGGGGCTGGGGGGGGGTGCGGAGAGGCGAGAAGAGGGCAGGGGGCGCCTCAGGGACTCCAGCAGGCCCGTGTCCCCACCTCCAGGCATCATCGGGAAGAAGCACGTGGGGCCCGAGTCGGTGTACCCGTTTGAGTTTGCGCACACGGAGGAGAACAGCTCTGTCCTCCAGGTGGGGCGAAACATCACCAGGATCAAGCTGCTGGTCAGGAAGTTCCTGCAGACCCAGGACGACAGGTGTGGGGAGGCCCCCGTACCCGCCCTCGCGTGTGGGCACTTAACACGAGATGCACATCCCAGGGTCTAGATGGCTTTCTTGGAATCCCCAGCTGGAGGTGCAGGGGAGGGGGAGAAGGTTCCAGAAACTCAAGTGAATCGGTTCGGAGGGAGAGGGACCATGGAGAGCATGAGGCAGAGGATCCCAAACAGTTTCTACTATAGAGGAGTGAGCAGTGCTCAGGGGTGTTCCCTCCTAGAGATCAGGGCTCCCCAGGTGTCCTGTCGACCTGCTGACCTCAGGACTCAAGTCCCCCCTCCCCGGGCAGGCCCTTCTTCCTGTACGTCGCCTTCCATGACCCCCACCGCTGTGGGCACTCCCAGCCCCAGTTCGGGACCTTCTGCGAGAAGTTTGGCAACGGGGAGAGCGGCATGGGGCGGATCCCAGACTGGACCCCCCAGACCTATGACCCACTGGACGTGCTGGTAGGAGAGCCACTTGCTGTGTTTCCCAAGCCGCTCACCCTTCTTCCTCCACCTCGTCAGCGGAGGACTGGGCAGCCCCGGCCCCGGTGTGACTTCAGCATGTTTCACGGGAGACTCACTGGAGCTGGGTTCCCATCCGTGGGGCCGGCAGAGAGTGGTGTAAACACGTGGAGCGATGTGTCCAGGAGCAGGGACGTCCTGGGCCAAGCCGTTCACTGGTGGCGGATGATCTCAGGCCCTGGGAGGAAGGCCGGCTCCTCCATCTCCTCCCCTCCCTGCCAGCCCGCCTCGCCTCTTCCAGCCCTGACCTCGCACCCCCGTCTCTCTCCAGGTGCCTTACTTCGTCCCCGACACGCCCGCGGCGCGAGCTGACCTGGCTGCTCAGTACACCACCATCGGCCGCATGGACCAAGGTGGGTTCTAGGAGCCTGGACGGTGGGGTGCGCCGCAGCGTGGGCCCCCGTCCCAGAGGCCTGATGGCCCAGTGTCAGCAGGGCTGTGTGCTGCCTGCAGCCCTGTGGGACGGGACAGTCCTTCCCGCCTCTTCCAGCGTCTGGTGGCCCCAGGCGTTCGTTGGCTCACGGCTGCTTCCCTCCGGTCTCTGCCCCGTGCTCTCGTGGCCTCTTGCGGGTGTTCTCTGTGTCTCCTTTATACGGACACTTGTCAAGGGATTTAGGGCCCACTTGGGCACTTTGGGATGATCTACTCGAGATCCTTGACAGTTGCATCTGCAAAGGTTCCTTTTCCAAACAAGACCACATTCACAGATTCCTGTGGTTTGTCTTTGCTGGGACCATCATTCAGCCGCCACAGGAAGTTGGAACCTTTATAACGTCCCTAGTGGTGCCACTAGTGGGTGGTGACCTGGGAAGGGGGCAGGCATAGAGAGGGTTCTATCTTCCAGCCACTGCCCCGTATCGTCCTTGTTATCCCTACGGGACAGGCATGAAATTCCAGAAAACAAAACAAAAATCAGCGTATGGCAGGTAGCGGCTGCGTGGGGTGATGTGGACGTGCTGAGAGATGGCCGGTGTCCCTGGCCTGCTCCAGGATAGGGTCCTGGGCAGGTGGGTGGGAGGGACGGCAGGCTGCAAGGTCCAGCAGCCAGATGAAGAAACGTGTGAGCGCACGCGCATTGCCGCCCCCCATGCCTGTTGGCCGCTGAGCTCTGCTGTCCCCTCTGCACCCCCAGGGGTTGGGCTCGTGCTCCAGGAGCTGCGTGGAGCAGGTGTCCTGAACGACACCCTGGTGATCTTCACATCCGACAACGGAATCCCCTTCCCCAGCGGCAGGACCAACCTGTACTGGCCGGGCACTGCTGAGCCCTTGCTCGTCTCATCCCCAGAGCACAGGAAGCGTTGGGGCCAAGTCAGCGAGGCCTACGTGAGCCTCTTAGGTACAGCTCTGCAGCTTGTGCAGGGGCAGGGGGTGGGGGTGAAAATCCAGGGCACCACCACGTGTAGATGGTGCTCCGCACCCACTGTTGTACGGGGTTTCTGTACCACCTGGGCAAGGAAGGGACGGCCACCCCTTTCCACGGATGCAGAAACGAGGATCAGAGAGGTGAGGTAAGTTGCCCAAGGTCACACGGTTCGTGAGCACCGAGCTCAGGTTTCGTCTTGGTCTCAGTCGTGGAGATGGTTGCTTTTCCCACTGGCCCAGTGGTAAGTGTCAGAGTCACCTGGAGCGCTCGTCAAGGTCCGCATGGCAGGCTCCATCCCCAGAGTGTCTGGCGCGGTGGACCTGGGGCGAGGCCTGGGAATTTGCATTTCTGACAAGTTCCCAGGGAATACTGATGCTGCGGGCCCTGGGGAACCCCTACCTTGAGGGGTCAGGGCAGCAGGGCCCATGTGGCTTGGGGCCCACGTCTCCCTTTGGCCCCAAAGCCCCAGTCAGGGAGCACTGTGGCCGTGGCCCAGGGCAGGAGTAGATGACCCCCTTCATGGGGGGTTTCGGACTGATCTAAAGGATTGTGGTGGGATCCCGAATACCACCAAGTTGGGGCCTCTTGTCCTAGAGGGCCGAGACAGCATCGACTGGTGTCGGGCCCACAGCAGCTCCTCCCTGTTGGCGATCCGGTGGCCCTCCGGCGTCCCAGAGTGCCTTGGAGTCAGCCCTTCCATGGCGAGGGCTCTCATACCCGGGAGGGCCGCCGTGCTGAGACGTCTCCTCCTTTCCAGATCTCACGCCCACCATCCTGGATTGGTTCTCCATCCCTTACCCGAGCTACGCCATCTTTGGCTCAAAGACTGTCCAGCTCACCGGCCGGTCTCTCCTGCCAGCGCTGGAGGCAGAGCCCCTCTGGAGCACAGTCTTTGGCAGCCAGAGCCACCACGAGGTCACCATGGCCTACCCCATGCGCTCTGTGCACCACCAGGGTTTCCGCCTTGTGCACAACCTGAACTTCAAGATGCCCTTTCCCATCGACCAGGACTTCTACGTCTCGCCCACTTTTCAGGACCTCCTGAATCGCACCGTGGCCGGCCACCCGACGGGCTGGTATAAGGATCTCCATCATTACTACTACCGGGAGCGTTGGGAGCTTTACGACAGGAGCCAGGACCCCCACGAGACCCGGAACCTGGCCGCTGACCCATACTATGCCCCAGTTCTGGAGCTGCTTCAGACCCAACTGGCCAAGTGGCAGTGGGAGACCCATGACCCCTGGGTGTGTGCTCCTGATGGTGTCCTGGAAGAGAAGCTCTCCCCCCAGTGCCGGCCACTCCACAACGAGCTATGACAGTTCCTGCAGGCACGGGGGAGGCCTCCTCAGGCCTGGTCCCCACCTTTTCAGCTGCTGTGGGAGGACGGGCCGTAGTGGCCCACCCGAGGAGGGCTCTCCCTGCTGCTGGGGTCATTCCTGCCACTGCCTGGCAGGGAGAGTGGGGCAGGTACCCCAGCCCTCCCTCCCCACATGCTAGAGGACACTGCTGTCCTTGTGTCCAAGCCATGTCTCAGCCTAGGAATTCCAGGGGGGCCTGGAGCAGGTGGGATCCCCAGCCCATGACCCGTGAGGATGGTCTGGGCAGCGGCATCTTGTTTCCTGCGTTGGGTTGGGGACCTCCAGAGAGAAAGGGCTTGAGATCCTCTTTGTTATTTGGAGCCACAGATGTTCCTGCATCCTTCACCCCAGAGGAGACAGGGCTCCCAGGTACCACATGGGTGACGGGAGGGTTCAAACTACACGCTGTGTACGAACATGTTGTCTGCCTTTTATCAATCTCTGGTCTTGAAAAAATCTTTGAAAAAGCCTTGGGCTTGTGTTGCTTCCTTTGCTTTGCCCCACGGTCAAGTCCCGGACCCTGGCTGGGCTTCCACTAGGCCACCGATCGATGGCAGGCTCCCCGAGCGCTGACTTTCATCTGGTCTGTATGGACAGGCTCATCCTTCTTTTTGAACGTCCAAGGGTGAAGACCCCCCCTCCTCGGCTTGGGTTAGTTCTGTCTGGTTGGGCGCCAGTGCTGTGGCACAGATGTTGCTCGTAGATGCTCCACACCTGCCCGGCTTCCACCTGCCAGTGAAGCAGCGGCTCTACCTGGGCAAGCCCAGAAAGCGGGAGCTTTTTTGCCTTGAGTGGGTGGGCTCCCACTGGCCTCCCTCCCCCACCGGCTCCATCCTGGGCGCATGGGGAGAGAGCCACAGGCCAGGGCACGGTAAAAGCTTTTTATTTGAATAAAATAATATAGAAGTTCATTTTCTGAACTTGTTTATGGTAATGCCAGCCTGAATTCCGGAGCAGCTTCCTGAGGCTCTCAGATCCGGGCCGCTGGTGCCAAGATGACATTCAGTCCACCACTGTGGGAGGCAAAGCCAGGTCGGGGGGGGGCCTGGGTCCCTGAACCAGGTACGGTGGCCACCAGGCACAAACCCACTGCAAGTACTGTTTCCATTGCTGGGAAACCCCGTGTCCCAGTTTGTACACCTAAACTTAGGTGTACTTAACCCAGTTAGTACTTCCTAAACTTGAGTCCCTGAAGCACGTCTCAGCCATCAGAAGCTGAGAAAGTTCGCCAGGATCACAAGGGGGTTTGCACCTCTGCTCTGGGCAAGGGGGGTAGTGACTTTGGGGGGCACCAGGGCTACTAGCCTGCTGCCTCAGTGGCTTTAGAACAAGCCCCTTGGCACACTGAAATGCAAAAGGGAAGATTTGGGTCAGACTAGTGGTTTTCTGGAGACATCTGGGGCCTCCTGCTCTTGGGGGGGGGGGGCGCAGGACATGCCTCCACCACAGAAGTGTTCTCGGGACCTCTGGTTCAGAACACGGCAACCAAGCCTCGTAGGAGGAGGAGACCGTTTGCACAAAGTGGGCAGATGGTTCGAGTGTGTTCATCTGTGACCTGCATGTATTGTGGGTTCAAAGTTGGACCCCAATGGGAGAGGGGAGCCGATGCCCGGAGGGCTGGGCTTGTCGGGTGAGCGCCCCAAGGCTGTGCCTGAGAGGCTCTGAGCTCAAACCACAGGGACTCAGAGGGGACGCCGGGGGCATCAGCGGGGGCTCTGCTCTGTCCACACAACCTTCTTCTGCTCGTCTGCGATGGCCACGCGGACACAGCCGAGCAGGCCTTCCAGGTCACTCCAGCTGTCGGGGGCCAGGCTGCCGTAGAGACAGGGCACTCGGTCCAGCTGGCCCTCCTCCTGCCTGCCCGCCTCCAGGAGCTGCTCCTCGGAGGTGCTGAGCCGCTGCAGGACCTTCCTGCACAGACCGGACACGGGGGGACACGCTCAGGGAGGCGCCCCAGGAGGCTGGCCACCAGCTTGGAGTTGCGGGGACCAGCGTACAGGCGACAGCGCTGCACAAACGCCCTGCTGTGAGGGCTCCAGTGGCTCGCAGAGAAGACGGGAGTCAGGCCCCAGATGGCCTTGCACCCATGGGGGCACGGTCTAGTTTACAAGCTCAGCTGACACGTTATCTGGGGCAGCAGGACGCCTGGGCCGGCCCCAGCAGTAAACCACGTAAACCACGAGCTGGTTTTCAGCCCCCTCCTCACCTAAGGCGGGTGGACTGTCAGCGTCTACCCCAGCGAACACGCGGCCTTAGGCAAGGAAAGGCAGGGTCCAGGCCTCGCCTCACCGTCCTCCAGGCTGTTCCCTGGGGGTGGGCAGCAGGTCTTTGTCCCAGAAGCTGTGGGGGTCGCGCCCTGTCACCCTTCCAGGGGCTGGCACTGGGTGAGCTCCTGGAGACCCCGCCACGTACCCCACTGCGTGGGTGAGGCACGCAGCCCCACCACCAGCCCTCAGGGAGCACCTACTTGAGTTTCTTTGCCGCCCTCTCGTTGATGGGGATGTGGATGATGATGGGGAAGATCTCCATCCTGTGCAGGGCACAGACGCTGTCCAGCCGGACGTCCAGGAGGGCGTGGGTGTTCTGGAAGGGACGGGGGACGTGGGTCAGAGGTCCTCGGCCTCAGAGGCAGCGAACGGAGCCCACACCGGGGAGGGGTGGTGGGCAGACAAGGCAGGGATGCTCTGTCGTGTACGAGGGCACTTGCTCTACAATCTCAAGAGTGTGTCCCTTTGGGTTTTCACCTGGAGAAGCGAGGAACGGCGAGCTGTTGGGGTTGAGGGAAGTTTCAAGAGAGGCTGAAGCCCGAGGGGTCGGGAGGTTCCATTAGCCTCTGTGGGTTGGGAAAGGGGCACCAGCCTCTGGCGGGCGGCTGGGCCTGGCCCCCTTACATCCACATAGAACTGGTTGGAGCACCTGGGTGGCTCAGCGGTTGAGCGTCTGCCTTCAGCCCAGGGCACGACCCCGGGGTCCTGGGATCAAGTCCTGCATCAGGGCTCCCTGCAGAGAGCCTGCTTCTCCCTTTGCCTGTGTCTCTGCCTCTCTCTGTGTGCCTCTCATGAAAAATAAAATCTTTAAAAAAATAAAAAATTAAAAAAAATTAAAATTAAAAAAATTAAAACTGCGTCGTTCACGGTGAGCTGCCTTTCACATATTTGAGCCTTAAATTACGGAGCGTTACCTCCATCTTCCTTGTTACTCAATTAATGCTATTCAACATCTCCTGTGTTGAGGAATTGGGCTCAGGGAAGGTAAGAGGCTCGGCCCAAGTCCCACAGATGCCAGATGGCAGAGACGGGGCTCGGTGCTTCTGCGCTCCGCACCCTGAACGCTGAGCCACAAACGAGCAAGCACCAAACCAGGTGTCCTCGACCTGCAGGTTGGTGGCCAGCGTCCCCCAGATCTCAGGGTTGGTCCTTCCTGCCGTGTCCCGCCACCATCCTTGGAGATGGAGGTCCCAGAGCCCCAGAGCAGCCCCCACCCCTGCCCCTTACCTTTTCCATAAGGGACTCCACAGCCCGGCGGGTCACGCAGTAGTGGCCACCGGAAGCCTCCCGCTCCTGGATGATGTCCCCTCTCTGGCTGCAGGCACTGTGTTCCTCCTGGCTCAAATACTCTGAAGGTGACCAGGGGCGGGGACATCACACACCAGGCCGGTGAGGTCCTGGGGAGGCTCTGTGCTGAACATGCCCCCACCCCCAGCTCTGGGGGATCCCCCCCCCAGGATGTCCTCTTTATGAACCTGGCCCTGTGCTCTTGGCACTCAGAGGAGCCTGTGACGGCGCTTGCCCTAGGCCATCGGACCAGCAGGTGCTCGGCCAGTGCCAGCACGTGGGTGGCCCGGGAAGGAAGGAGGAGCGATGTGGGTGCACAAGCCCCTCCCCCAGCACCACAGGCCCCCCCCCCCCCCCCCCCCGCTCTGAAAGTGCACATCCAGCTTCTTCGACTTAGAAATCCTTGGAGCCCTTGGGTCCGCACATCTTAGCTGGGGCGGCTGTGCCCCAAGGAGGCGTTTTGGGCCGTCCCCCCGGGGGAGGCCATGCGTCTGGGGGGGCGGAGCCGGGATGTTGGGCTCCCAATGTGACCGGAGGGGGAGGCTGCCCGGCAGGACTGTCAGCCCGAGGTGGAGGGAGAGCCCTTGCCCTGAATAAACCCATGGAAGCACAGCCCGCGCTCGCCCGTCTTCCTGAACAGCCTGTGTCGTGGCCACTGTTGTCCCGGGTCAGACCTGCGACCCCAGCCGCGGGGACCCCAGCTCGCGGGCCTCCTGTCCCCAGGGCCGCACCTGCAGCACCTTTGCCCGGTGCACCCTCACGTCCCCGCCTGACCGACAGAGCCCGGCCGCCCGTCTCCAGGAGCCCGCCTCTCCCCGCAGGGAGCCTGGCATAGGGCAGGCGCTGCTAGAGGAACCACAGGGACCCCCAGGGGCTGGGGCAGGGCTCCCGCCCCCTCCGGTGGTCACCCAAGGCCTCCCATCAGCCAGGGACAAGCCGACGATGGAAGATTCCCACGACGCTGCTCTCCTGCTACGAGGCGCTCAGCCCTGTCCCCTGGGATCCAGGATTCCAAACGGCCGGTTCCTCCCCGAGACTCTCCACCAAGCAGCGCTGGAGGTGAGCAGCGGGTGGATGGTGCCTTTCGGGGTCCTGCCCCAGCTGAGCACAAACCTATCTGCCAGCGGTAAGTGCACCAGATTGAATAGCATCCCCCCAGGACGCATGGCCCCTGGAACCTGGGAATGGGGCCCTATTTGGAAATTGGGTCTTTGCAGATGTGGTTAATGAAGACGATGTCATCCTGGAGCAAGAGAGACCCTAAATCCATGACTGGTTGTTCATGAGAAGACTGTGGATGACACAAAGACACGCAGGAGGCCACTGACAAGGAGGCAGAGGTGGGAGTGGTGCAGCCACAAGCCAAGGACCCCAGGACCATCAGCACCACCAGAAGCCAGAAGAGGAAAGGAGCGACTCCCCCTGACGGCCTCGGGGTGGGGGTGTGGGGACACCTGGACCTCAGCCTTCTGGGCCCCATCACCGCGGGTGAATAAACCTCTGCTGTTCTAAGCCTGCAGGCTGCAGCCCCGGGGACACTGGCACGGTGACCTCCCGCCGCCTCCTGAGAGAAGGCAAGTCTTGTCCCGCCACCTGACAGATGAGGGCGGGGGCTCCCAGGGGACACATACCTGCTGGGCATTTCTTAAACCCTCGGAGGAGGCACAGCTTCTCGCTCAGGATCTTCCCCGCCACGCTGGGCACGAAGAGCACGGGCCGGGGCTGGCTGGGCCTGTGGGGGTGTACCAGGGTGTAGGGCACCAGGGTGAAGCAGCTCTCGGCCCAGAAGCACGCGGTGTAGGGCTCTGTGGGGGAGAGGAGGCGGGAGCAGGCCGGGCTCCCCACACTGGTGTCCCCCCCACCCCCACCAGGGGTGGCGCTTCTCTGCACCGTTGATTAGGTGACTCCGTGTCCCCCCAGGCTCAGCTGCACAGGCCCGGAGTGGGAATAGAGAAAAGCACTTCTCCTCCCTCCCCGCGGTCTACAAGGCCCTTGGCATCCTCACCTTTGTGGGACCCACAGCACCAGGCCTCCCTCCCTCCTGGTCCCTGGGCTCCTAGGTTGTGCTTCTGTTTTCCCATCATGCACCCAAAACACTTGCCAAAAAGAAGAAAATCTTCTCAAAACAATTCACCTTACCCTCAATCCGCTTCTACTATGTTCATTGCACGGTTGGACCCGATTGGGGTACGTGCCACACTGGCCACACTCGTCACGCAGTGGCGACCAAGGGGCCCCTTGAGCCATGACACCCGCCTCACCTTCCAGCCTGCTGGGCTGCGGCGGGGTCCCATCGAAGGATGAGCGCACAGGGCTGGGCTTGGTTCTGTCCACGCTGACGATGCGGACCAGCTTCTGGGGTCCCCCGGAGGACTGCTGGAGGAGGGAAGAGGGACGAGCAGGTGTCCAGGCCATCTGCACAGGGCGGGGGGCTGGCACCTGGCCTTGCTGCCAAATCCCAGCTGCTGCCCGGACCACCAGGCCGTGCCCACGAATAGCCAGGAGGCCCAGGCTGCATGCCAGAGGGTGGGAGATGAGGGGGGTGGAGCAGGGTCCTCAGGCAGAGCCCCCGAGCAGGGCCCCCCTGAGCATGGCGTCCAAAGTGACGGCAGGCTGCATAAAGCAGGAGGGAAGAGTCGGGGTCCCCCAGCCTGGCCCTGCTCCAATCCAGGGAAGCTGCCCTAGCATCCTGCTGGGAGACAGCTGGGTGTTCTGTGTCGGTAGCTCAGAGGGAGTAGGAGGGGGTGCAGATGGGCAGGCAAATGGGATGAACTGGGAGCATGACGGAGAGAGCAGATGTGATGTACCTGCACACAAGAGGAGCTTGCGGGCTGGGTGTGGTGTGCAGGCCCTGGTGAGGGCTTGGAGGGACGGCGGGGAGACACGCCAGGTCACAGTCGTGGGGGCAGCAGCCCGGGGCCCCCAGGCCAGCACCCACCCTCTGCCAGCCCACACCACAAGGGGCCAGGACCCACCCCCAGATGACGGGAGCCAGGAGGAGGAAGGCCAGGACAGAGAGGCAGGGCCCACCCCAGCAGGGCCCTGCGTCTGGGATCCGGGTTGGCCGATGTCACCACCTCACCTTGCGGGCGATGGTGGTGTGCTGAGCCATGTCCTGGATGAGGGCGATGAGCAGCTGCTGAGCCCTGCGCAGAGGAGGACAGCCCTGAGCCAGTGGCCCCGGAGCACCCCCTGTGGCCCCAGGCAGCCGTTCTCTACCCGGCGGCCACCATGGTCCCCTGCAGCCTTTGGAAAACCGCAAACCCACAGCTCAGCCCTGCAGCTGCCAATGGGACTGTTCTGAGTTGGGACCTGGGTGACTCTGGGTGAGCCTGGGCCTGGGCCACACCCTAAAACCTCAACAGCCTGGCGCCCCTGAGAGTGATGAGGCTTTGGGGTACTGGGTGAGACGCTGCTCTGTGCACTGTGGTTGATCTAGAACGCGGTGCTCAGCAGGGGAGATGCTGCTCCCAGGGAGGGTGGCCCTTGTCCCAGCTGGCCCAGGCCTGAGGGGTTCCCCAGGACACGGGACTTTCCATGCTTTTGCCAAAATAGTCCTGGACACGCCAGGATGATGGTCACCCAACCCCAGGAGACACTAACTGGGCGATGTCTGGAGACACTTCTAATTGTCACAACTGAGGGCCAGAGGCACTACTGGTGTCCAGTGGTGCCACTCAACATCCCACAGGGCCCAAGGCGGCCCCCCGTGACTGAGTAAGCCAGCCCCAAATGCCACACTGGTCCTGAATGCTCTAGAATGCTCTAGGACGAAGGGCCACCCCTTTCCATGAAGAAACCCCTTCTAAGCAGTGATGGGGGTGGCACATAGGGATTCCACTTGAGGTGTCTCATCATGCCCATCCTCTCCTCTTGGGGAGGAGGGGTGGTCCACAAGAAGCCGGGCAGCGCCCCTGGCCCAACCTGGAGAGGTGCTGGGGCACTAGAGCTGCTCACCGTGTGTAGTTGGGGATGGTGCCATGTTCGGCGCCCGTCGTGCTGTAGGGCCCCACGCGGTGGGCGTGCCAGCAGCCCCGGCCCTGAAACATGGTGTCGGTGACGTGCAGGATGTCATTGCACCGCACCTGCAGCTCCCCCTCCGCCCGCGCCTCCATGGCCAGGTTGACCCGGATGTAGAAGGAATCCCCTGAGGTAGCCACTTTGGCCTCCAGGTCCTGGACCAACTTCTTATAACCTGATTAAAGATAAGCCCGGGGCTGTGTTCCTGCACGAGGAAGGTTCTGGAATGTGAAAGCAGGAGAGAAGGAAGGAATCTCCCCTAGAGTCTTGGAAGCCGTTGTGGTGCTAGAGCCAGTGGGTAGGAGATCCCCAGCTGCCCTGCAGCCTTCTGCACACTGGGGCACCGTCTGATTCTGGGGTGCACGGGAGGGCTGGCATCGCACAGCCAGGGGCTCACGGACACAGGACTCGGTGGCTCAAGTCTCAGGTGGTGGGCTTCCCTGGTGGGTGGGGTGGGGAGTGTATACCTTCCATGTTGACCTTCACGGACAGGCAGCAGAAGCCATTGACCCTCTGGAGGAGTCCAACCGCTTGCTCTAGGGTTGTGTCCTCCAAGGTGGCTTTGAACAAGGGCTCTGTGGCCTCGCAATCCACCTGAGGGCAAATCACCGGTGTCGGCCCCTCTGACCTGGATTCCGCGGCCACAGTTCCCATCCAGAGGGAGACTCAACCACCAGCCCTTCCCCAACACGCAGCATGCCGAGATGACCACTGAGGACCGAGTTTCCACTCTTCAAGGGGGACTTCCACTCTAGAGCATTCCCCAGGCTAGGGTTTCTCAGCTTGGACTATCAACAGTTAAGGCCATTGTTTTGCACTGTGGGGCCGGCCCTGGGCCCTGCAGGATGTTGAGTAGCATCCCTGGCCCCCCACCCTGTAGATGCTGCGGCAACGGCTTCCCCGCCGCGCTGTCCTGGGGGTGAAAGGCCATGGGCACGGGGCTCTCACTGTCCACTCCACTCATTCGCTCAACCCTGGGCTGTTTTAAGTTTAGGAGAATATATGCGTACATATATATTTTTAAAAGATCTTATTTATATATTTGAGAGAAAGATAGAGGCTGAGCAGGGGGAGGGGCAGAGGAGAAAGAGAACCAGACTCCCTGCTGAGCCAGATTCAGGGCTCGATCTCAGGACCCTGAGATCATGACCTGAGCCAAAAGCAGTCACTTAATCGCTTAATCACTTAATGTACTGAGCCGCCCAGTCATCCCAAGAAGATAAATATATATATATATGTATATATATTTTTAAAGATTTTATTTATTTTTTCATGAGAGATAGAGAGAGAGGCAGAGACACAGGCAGAGGGAAAAGCAGGCTCCATGCAGGGATCCCGATGCAGGACTTGATCCTGGGACTCCAGGGTCACGCCAAAGGCGGCGCTAAACCACTGAGCCACCCGGGTTGCCCAAGAAGATGTATTTTTATAATGAAAAAATATTGTAGCTCCAGCAATCAGACGACAAAAAAAATAAATAAAAGCCATCCCGATTGGTAAGGAAGAAATAAAACATCCACAGGATCCCTGGGTGGTGCAGCGGTTTGGCGCCTGCCTTTGGCCCAGGGCACTATCCTGGAGACCCGGGATTGAATCCCACGTCGGGCTCCAGGTACATGGAGCCTGCTTCTCCCTCTGCCTATGTCTCTGCCTCTCTCTCTCTCTCTCTCTCTCTCTCTCTCTGTGTGTGTGTGTGTGTGTGACTATCATAAATAAATAAAAATTAAAAAGAAATAAAAAATAAAAAATAAAATAAAATAAAACATCCACAATTTGCAGGTGACATGATATCCTATTTACAAAAACCAAAAGATTCCACCCAAAGGCTGTTGGAACTGATATAGAAATTCAGTGATGTCACAGGTTACAAAAATCAATGTACAGAAATCCACCGCCTTTCGATATACCAATAATGAAGCAGCAGAACAAGAAATCGAGGAAACGATCCCATTTACAATTGCACCGAAAATAATAAGTTAGCCAGGAATAAACCTAACCAAAGAGGTAGAAGATCTGTTCTCTGAACACTATAAAACACTGATGAAACATATTGAAGGCAGCACAAAAATGTGGAAAGACATTCCAAGCTCACGGATTGGAAGAACAAATATTGTTTGTCTCTCCTACCCAAAGCGATGTGCACACTCAATGCGATCCCGATGAAAATACCAATAGCATTTTTCACAGAATTAGAACAAGCAACCCTAAAATTTGCACGGAGCCACAAAAGGCCCTGAGCAGCCAAAGCAGCCTTGAAAGAGAAAACCAAAGCTGGAGACATCCCAATTCTGGATTTCAAGATACTGCAGAGCCGTAGTCCTCAAGACCGTAGGGCACGGGGATCCCTGGGTGGCGCAGCGGTTTGGCGCCTGCCTTTGGCCCAGGGTGCGATCCTGGAGACCCGGGATCGAGTCCCACGTCGGGCTCCCGGTGCATGGAGCCTGCTTCTCCCTCTGCCTGTATCTCTGCTTCTCTCTCTCTCTCTGTGTGTGTGACTATCATAAATAAATTTTAAAGAAAAAAAAAAAAAGACTGTAGGGCACGGGCACAAACAGAGACACACAGGTCAGTGGAACAGAACGGAAGACCCAGAAACGGACCCACAGCTTTATGGGCAACGCACCTTCGGCAAAGCAGGAAAGAATCTCCAACGGAAAAAAGATCGTCTCTTCAACACACGGTGTCGGGGAAACGAGCCACATGCAGCACCAAGGCGCACCACTGCCTCGCGGCGCACACAGAGATAAAGTCCAAATGGACTGAAATGAGACCGAAACGAGAGACGGGAACCTCTATGACCTCGGCCGTAGCTACCTCTTAGCAGACCCGTCGCCCCTTACCAGGCAAGGGACTTCATCAAAATAAAAAGCTCCTGCACAGTGAAGGAAACAATCAGCAAAACTAAAAGGCAGCCAAGTGGGGCGCCCCGGGGGGCTCAGTGGTTGAGCATCTGCCTTCGGCCCAGGGCGTGATCCTGGGGTCCCGAGATCGAGTTCCGCATCGGGCTCCCCGCAGGGAGCCTGCTTCTCCCTCGGCCTGTGTCTCTGCCTCTCTGTCTCTGTCTCTGTCTCTCATGAATAAGTAAAAATCTTTAATAAATAAAAAATAAATGAGAACAAAAGACAACCGATGGAATGGGAGGAGATGTTTGCAAATGGCTTGTCCAATAACGGGTGAGTATCTGAAGTCCATGAAAAACTTCTCACCCTCCACACCCAAAAACCTAATAATCCAGGTTAAAGACGGGGAGAAGACATGAGCAGACGTTTCTCCAAGGAAGACATCCAGATGGCCAGCAGACGCATGAGAAGATGCTCCGCGTCGCTTATCATCAGGCAAGTGCAAATCGGAACCATAGCGACATCCCACCTCACACCAGTCCGCGCGGCTAGGATCAACCACACAGGAAACAACAGGCGCTGGAGAGGATGTGGGGAGAGGGGAGCCCTCCTGGGCCGCTGGTGGGCGTGCAAGCTGGTGCAGCCACTCTGGGAAGCAGTGGGGGGGGGGGTCCTCAGAAAGCTAAATATAGAGCCGCCCTACCTACCGCCTATGAGCAATTGCACTACTGGGTGTTTAGGCAAAGGATACAAACACTGGTTTGAAGGGGCACCTGCACCCCGACGTTCATAGCACCCATGTCCTCAGTGGCCAAACTGTGGAGGGAGCCCAGATGTCCATCAACAGATGGATGGATAAAGAAGGTGTGGTCTTGGGACACCTGGGGGCTCAGCGGTTGAGCGTCTGCCTTCGGCTCAGGGCATGACCCCAGGGTCCTGGGATCGAGTCCCGCTTCGGGCTCCCTGCATGGAGCCTGCTTCTCCCTTGGCCTGTGTCTCTGCCTCTCTCTCTCTCTTTCTCTCTCTCTCTCTCTGTCTCTCATGAATAAATAAACAAAATCTTAAAAAAAAAAAAGAAGAAGAAGATGGGCTATACTCAGCCATCAGAAAGGATGAAACCTCAGCGTTTGCAACATCGTGGAAGGAGCTAGAGGGTATTGCGCTAAGCGACATACATTAGTCAGAGAAAGACAAATACTATGTAATCTCACTCGTATGTGGAATTTAAGAAACAAAACAAATGAGCAAAGGGGAAAAAAGAGAGATAGACCAAGAACCCAGCACTTCACTATGGAAAACACACTGATGGTCACAGAGGGGAGGGGAGGGGAAGGGGGAAACAGGTGATGGGGATTCAGGGATCCAGACGGCGGCAGGAACCGGGAACGGAGCCTCCCAGTGAGTGTCAGCTCAGCCCGAGCGGGGAGCGTGGGCCACCCTGAGAAGGCATCCTTGACCAGTGGGAGCTGTGGCCGCCGACCCCGCCCGGAGAAGATCCTTGGGGGTTTGCAGGGCTGGGGTCACACCTACCATCATGATCTGGGTGCCGGGGCGCAGGGCCATCTCGTCCGCCGCTGAGCCAGGGGTGACCCGGTGAATGAAGATGCCCGTGAGGTTGCCACCAATGACGCTTATCTGCTCCAGCAACGCGTCCCCCTGGAAGGCCAGCACGGTGACCTGGCTCAGGATCTTGCGGGCCGGCCTCCTCCGCACGGGGACGCTGCTGCAGGAGGGGAGGTGATGGAGCCCCTGAGGCACTGGAGCAGGTCAGGCAAGGCCCTGACCCCACGGGCCCCAGGATTCTGGAATTCTCTCTCTCTCACACACACACACATATCCCCAGCTGTGACCTTATCCTCAGGAAGGCTGTCACCTCCCAATAGTGATGGGACCCAGTCCTCACTCTGCCCTGCCACCTGCTGACCCTGGCCCCCTCCCACCACTCACCTGGACGAGGTGGTCAGGCCCCCGGAGAATGGCTGCAGGCTGCTCTCACACTCAGGAAGGTCTGCATGGAGAGGGAGGGCTCAGACCTGGGCCAGGCCAGCCCCTGGGCTCCCCTTCCCCACGGAGCCTTGCCTACGGGGTGGGTAACCCGTCACCCCTACCCCAGCCCACCCCTCCCTCCACTGAGGCTGAGCCTCCTCTTCTCTTCCCTTCCTCACTGCCTAGAATCTTGATTTCATCTTCCCCCAAACAGGAGTGGGGTTTGACCTATAGGGTATCCTTAGGGGGTAGTTGGATGAGTTGCCAACACTTTACAGGAGAGGGCAGCTAGAGGCTGGCTTTCTGGCTTCCTTAAAAATCAGATCTAGGGGCAGCCCGGGTGGCTTAGCGATTTAGCACCGCCTTCGGCCCAGGTTGTGATCCTGGGGTCCTGGGATCGAGTCCTGCATCGGGCTCCCTGCATGGAGCCTGCTTCTCCCTCTGCCTGTGTCTCTGCTTCTCTCTCTGCGTCTCTCATGAATAAATAAATAAAATCTTAAAAAAAAATCAGATCTAGGTAGGGGTGAGTGGGTGAAATAGGGGATGGGGATTCAGGAGGACACTTGTTGTGATGAGCACTGGGTGATTAAAATAAACACTTAAAAAAAATAAAAAATAAAATAAAATAAAATAAAATAAAATAAAATAAAATAAAATAAAATAAAATAAAATAAAATAAAATAAAATCTGGAACAACCCTGGGCCCGTGTTTCTGCCCGGACCCGCATCTCTGCTCGGCAGCAGTTGCCAGCGCCGGCCATCGGCTGCCCGCCCCTCCTGCTGCCCAGCTCGCCACTGCAGGCCCCAGAGTTGGCAACCCGAGGACTGGACGGCCCCGGGGTCCCTCGGGGCTCTGCATTTTAATGTGCAGCTTGTGAAGCAGCCCCACCCCGCACCCCGAACCCAAGCCCGGGGATCGACCTTCCTGCAAGGACGTGGCTGCTCTTCCCGAGTATGGGGGGGGGAGGGCGAGAACCAGCCAGCCAGCGAGGACCGGTGGCCGCCTGCTGTCGTTGCCCAGCTCACAGGCTACACGCCATTCACGATCACATTCAAAGCCAAGGGAAAATAGCCTAGTCCTGATGTATTTGAGGTCAATTCCACCAAAAGTGTACGAAACGGGGACGTTATGTAGAAGTGTGACAGAAGAAAGGGCATCGCATCCAGGATGGATATGTCCTGGGGGGACCCTCTCGGTTGGCCCTAGTTCTAAAGATGCCAATGGCCTCGCACAGGCCAGGGTTCTGGTCCAGTGACCCACAGGGAGCCCCGACCCCGGGGCCCTGCGGCGCCGCTGTTCTGAACAGCGCGAGGCGCGTGCTCCCCCTGGTGGCCACCGGGGTGAATTCCAGACGGGGCGTGAAGCACCTGCTGTGCACCTGGCCCGGGCTGGGGGCAGGTGTGCAGGGGGAAAAGGTGAGGAGGCTGCGTGGGGCCCATGGTTGAAAAGGAGACGGGTCAAGTCGCAAATATGAGGAATAAGCCATAGGCGATGTGGGAAGGTCTCAGGGGCCAACACCCAGGAGGAGAGATGCTCCCTGCTGGTGCCTCTTCCAGGAGCAGAGGGGACAGAGGCCTGCTGCCTTCCGGTATCTCTGGGGAACCTAAGTGTCCCCAGATCAGAGCAGGGAGGGACAGCGAGACAACACATATGCCTGGAGCTGCCTGAAGGTTACTGCTGAGCTGAACACAACTCCCTTGGCTTCGAGGGGAGACAGAAAGGACGCCCAGTAATGGGCTTCAATGGCCAGGTAGCCTGGATTTCCCAGAGCCCGGGCCCGGGCAGCAGTGATGCTTGCTTCCTCCGCCCAACCCCTGCAGAGGTACCGGGTCTCTTGGCGGCCTCCCTGAACACCCCTCTTCTCACTTATCCTCCTGCTCAGCCCAGGGGAGGTGAGTGGCTGCACAGGCCCAGGTGGGGTGCACTCACCTGCCCTGTCTACAATCTCGTAATCCAAGTCTGCATCACCTGCCTTCGCCCCCGGGGAGGGCCCCTGGTCCACCTGCAAGGTTTCTGGGAAGCCGCTGGAAAGCATGGGAAGAGGACAGCTCAGGCTGTGTCGCTCGCCTCTCTGCTCAGACTCCGAGCCCCTGGCACCTGCCCAGCCCTCGGCCCGTGTCCCAGCCCAGGGCCCATGGCATCTGGACCCCCGTTGCCCGCCTGTTACCTGAAAGACCAAGGGTCTTCCCAGAAGTCGTCTGTGACCCGCTTGTACAGGGACTGCAGGCTGGGAGGCCTGGGGCTACTGGAGCGGAAGCTGTCCACCAGCTCACGGTTGGACGTGGCACTCAGGTCGGAGCAGAGCTGAGACTGGAAGGGGACAGGACAGAGGTCGGCACAGGGCTCCCCCGGGCACCCCGCGCCACCTCCCCGCTGCTCCACTGGGCACGACGGACAACAGTGAGAAACCACGGCGCCTATAGGGCAGAGGCGGCAATAGGGACACAGCACAGAGAGAGGCACCCTAGCGGAACACCTACTGTGTGCCAGGAGCCCTCCTAGCCGCTAATGAATAAAGCTGCATGGTGGGTAGTTTGGTCCCACTTCACATACAAAGCAACTGAGGCCCAGAGAGGCCAAGTGCCCAGCTGTGAGGGTCACGTGCAGAGGGAGACACCAGTAGACGGCAGGTGTGCAGTGCAGACCTGAGTGCAGGCCCGCGTCGGCTTCACCCGCTGTGTGCCAGGCACCCCCCCCCCTCAAGCCACCGAGGAGGCACCAGCCGTACCTCAGTGGAGCTGGGGCAGCTGTAGTCACTGTCATCCCGCGGGCAGATGGCGAACATGCGCACGAGCCGCTGCTTCCCCTTCGGACAGGGCTCCCTGGCGCCGGCTTCCTGCTTAGGCTGCTGAGGACGGGGCGCAGGATGCTGGGTTCAGGTGGGTTTCCTCCTGGATGCTCTCGGGGGCGTTTCCAGCAAGTCACCTCCCTGCCGCCTCCACCTCCCACCTCCACCCGGCGGGCAGTTCCCCTCATCATGTCCCCTCCTCGGAGCGCGGGGCCCCGCCGGCACGGCAGGAGCCCACCACGGAGGAAACGGAAAGCAGGAAAGCAACCAGCTTGGTGAACGCTAGTTCATCTCTTTTGGAGCAGGAGCTGCTGATACACTGTAATCGGAGGTTTTGTAATCATTTTCGCTCTTTGGGAACATTTTAGCTCTTTCCCTTCCTACATGGAAGTCAGCTCGTGGACATCTGGACATCGGGCTTGCAAATATGTCAGGAATGCATCATCTACAAAAGTATCATCTACCAGATATCCGGCTGTGTCATAGGCTTTCATTCTCCACGGAACACCGTGCTTTACAGGTTCCAGAACCTTCCGCCAAGCTACGTCTCCCACGACTTGCATAAGATTGCCACAAAACGAACTGCAGACACAGGCTCAAGATGCCCAGTTGTGCATCTTCAATGATTTGGCAACAAGGTTCACCCACGAGAGCCAGGGTGTGGCCGATACGGCTAAACCCGAGGTCCGGGCCGGGGCCTCAAGCGGCCTGGCACCTCCCGCCTCCCCGTGGGTGCGAGGGAAGCACTCACCCCCTGCAGGGACTCGGCCTGTGGCTTGTGGACCTGCTGGCGCAGCTCACAGACCTGGTCTGTCAGCTCAAACACTTTCCTGCGGAGGGCGTCCTTCTCCGTCAGGTTCTGAGCGATCTCCATCTGGGCTGCGTCCCTGGCGGAGTAGGCCTGGGAGCCAGGAAGGGAGGGGGGGCGGAGCGTGTGTCGGGGGTGACAGCCGTGGGGGAGAGACCCGGGAGAGGCGGGAACCAGCCATCCTGGGCAGGAGGGGGGTGTGCAGAGAGCCCTGTGGCACCTGCCAGCCCAGGGTCAACCCCCCCCCCAGGGCTTCTGGGAGGAGCCTCAGCCAGCAGCCCAGGTGCCCTGGGGCCCTTCCCACGGAGGTACCTGGTCCCGCTCTTTCTGCAGCTGGAGCAATTGGCTCTGCAGGGCGGTCACCCTCTCCTTGTAGATGTCGCAGTCCACCTTCGTCCTCTGGAACTGGAGCAGGGTCTGCTCCTTCTCCTCCCAGAACTGGCCGGGGACAAACAGAGCACACGCAGGGCGGGGGGGTTCTGGGGTCAGGCGGAGGGTGGGGCAGGGCGGGGGTGCCTCGGGGGCGGGGGGGGGGTAAAAGAGGTGCTCGTTTCTTAAATGCTAAATTCCCAGGCACTGCTATGGTGATCCCTACGCACCTGGGTGGTGCAGGTATGACCCCGTGTCGTTTACTCCATGTCCCAAAAGACATAAATGATCTCCCTCCACGCTGCCTCGTTCTCTCCCTCCGTCCCCTTCCTCCTGGTCCTCCTCTGGCAGTTGCAGGGACTAAATAACCCCTTGGCGCCCACCCTGAGGGCTCCCCCCACTGGAAGGCGCCCTGAGTTTTGGTGCTCTTTGGTCCCATGGTTTTCTGATCACCCGCAAACCAGACGGGACCGCTGGCCTTGGGCTGTGAGTCCGTGCTCTAGAAGCTTCCGTGAGGGCCGAGCGTCTGCAAAGCCTGTCCTCCCCGCCTGCCTGAGCAGCCCTGACACGGCCCCCGAGGGTCACCTGCTTGCGCTGCCTCTCGGCGGCCACAGCCCGCTCCCTCAGAGAGTGGATGCGGTCCACCAGCTCCTGCTTGCTCTCCAGGGCCTCGTCCAGGTTCTGCTCCAGAATGTCCTTCTCCACCTGGGCAAAGGGAGGTCAGCCCAGGGCCCTCCCGGGAGGCGCCCCATCACTCTGCCCGGGGAGAGGCAGCAGGAAACCTCGGGGCGGGGGTGTGGGGACGGATTCAGCGGGATCCCTGCGCGAGGCAGGGGGGAGGCGGGGGAGGCAGGTGCACGATCAAAACGGGAAACGTGCATTTCCCTTCTGTTTCTCCGTGATCATGGGCAGGAAGTGAAGGAAACTGGAAGTCCCCGGGGTGGCGATCCCCCCTCGGAGGCAGCGTCGGGCCGCTCCGGCCACACGCCCGCTGGCAAGGTCTCCGACAGAGGACACACCAAGGGACACGCCGGTCCCTCTCTGGCCCACTCCCCAGGGAGGGCCTTCGGCACCTAGGGGACGTTTAGTCATTGGAAGGAATCGCTCTATTAATAGACATGTTATTGATTGAAAGGAATCGCGGAGGAGGAGAGGCAGAGGGTTTGCATAATTCCGGAGCTTTGTCGTCACTGGTGCCGCCGCTGCCCCCCGGAGCGCGCGTGGGTGGGACCTCGGCAGATTATGCGGGCAGACAGGCCCCCACGCATGATCTTGCATCCCGTCATTCACCATCGGCCTGGCTCCCTCTAAGCCAGCAGAGCAGCAGCTCACGAGCGGAGTGGGGGGGCGCTGCTCTGCACGTCCAGCAAGCTGTCCGCCCTGCCCACATTCACGGCAGTGCAGGACTGGGAAGGGGGTGGAGGGTGTCTTGGGATGGCACCCAGTCCTCAGTCACCCCCACGAGGACCCCCTGGGTGAAACCCCCCAGCCTGCGGGAGCCCCGGGCCAGCTGCCCCGGGAAGGGATGGGGACCCACCAGGCTGAATGTCAGCGACCGGAGCTTCTCATTCTCCTCCTTCAGGCGGCTCAGCTCCCTGTCCCCAGGCCCCAGGCCTCCGGCCACCTGCAGGGACCGCTCTCGGGATTCCCGCTCATGGGAGGAAGATATCTTCTCGCGCTGCAGCTCCTGCTTCGTCAGGTAGAGCTGCCAGGAGGAGGCCGAGAGGAAGGCCCGCGTGAACCCAGGCTGTCTGCTAGCCTGGGAGTCATCCTCGAGGAGGAGATGCTGCTTATATTCAGAAGGGTCCCTCCCCCAAGCTTTCAAAATCCACTCGAGAGTTTTACCCGGTGAACAGTTACGGTTCTTGTGAAGGAGGAAGGCGTTTCTAGCTTTATTTCTACTGGGGTGGGGCCGAGGGACCAGAGCAAGGAACCCAGGGAATCGATTCGGCTCACTCCGGCGCGAGTGGCCAGGGAGCGAGTGTCCTCCAGCACGCTCCCTGGCTTCCCTGCCTTTCCATATTCTGCTAAGTACATTGCATGAAGGGAGTCAGGATTCGTGAAAATCAGTAAGTGAGAATAAAGAAGAAATCAAGTCAGACGGAGCAGAGATGACTGGTCTACACAGACGCGCTCGCAATCCGTGTGCAAATATGTGCCACCTCCCGCCTGGCGGGCTGCGTGTCCCGGGCTGTGGGCCTCTGGAAAATACCTGGCCAGGTCGGTCCTGCTGGCCTCCACCCCGCAGGATGGTGCCTTAAGGGAAACTCAGGTCTGGAACCAAGGGAGACACGGGGTTTTCCTCAAGAGGCAAACCCAGGAAGCCTGGAGGTCAGGGTGGAGTCAGCCCTCACTCTGGGGTCAAGAGAAAGAAGAAGGGATCCCTGGGTGGCGCAGCGGTTTGGCGCCTGCCTTTGGCCCAGGGCGCGATCCTGGAGACCCGGGATCGAATCCCACATCGGGCTCCCGGTGCATGGAGCCTGCTTCTCCCTCTGCCTATGTCTCTGCGCCTCTCTCTCTCTCTCTCTCTCTCTCTCTCTGTGACTATCATAAATAAATAAAAATTAAAAAAAAAAAAGAGAAAGAAGAACCTTTCCACTTGAACTTGTTCCCTCCTGACATCTGCTTAGCAAATTTTCTGTAAGCAATTACACAGCGCCTGCTACGGGCCACCTGGGTTAGGAGTGTTGTGCTCCACGGATTAAAAAAGTAAGACTAGGGAAGCCTGGGTGGGTCCCAGGGTAAGTGTCTGCCTTTGTCTCAGTCGTGATCTCAGGGTCCTAGGATGAAGCCCTGGGTCATCAGGCTCCCTGCTCAGCAGAGTCTGCTTCTCTCTCTCTGTCTGCCCCTCACCCCTGTTTGCACTCGATCTGTCTCTCATTCTCTCTCTGATAAATATTTTTTAAAAATTAAAAAGTAATATTAAATCATTAAGACCTGAAAGGGGGGGGTGACCTAAAACTGAAAATAAACCTAAGCCAATGAACCTGATTATTTTTTTTAATTTTTTATTTATTTATGATAGTCACACACACACAGAGAGAGAGAGAGAGAGAGAGAGAGAGGCAGAGACACAGGCAGAGGGAGAAGCAGGCTCCATGCACCGGGAGCCCGACGTGGGATTCGATCCCGGGTCTCCAGGATCGCACCCTGGGCCAAAGGCAGGCGCCAAACCGCTGCGCCACCCAGGGATCCCCTGTATTTTATTTTTTAAATTTTTTAATGAACCTGATTATATCTCAAACACTGTAGCCACAATGAGCAGAGGGAGAAGGGATGGAGAGGAAGGAAACGGATGGAGAGCCGGGCAGCCCCGGCAGCTCGTGAACTGCAAACCCCCGGCTCTTCTCGGCAGCTTCGTTCACGGGGCTGGTGTGGGCACAGCTAATTGGAAAGTATTTTCCGTGCACTAAGGGATTGAGCAAGCGAGCGCTAGTGTGGGTGGGAGGATTCTCACCGGGGAAGAAGGGGCACCCAGTATGGAATGAGGGAGGCAGGGACGCGCCCTGGGGATTGACCGGAATTAGAGGCGTGGGTGTGACCTCACGGTTTCTGAAATACAAGTATGTCTGTGGACATGCATACTCGCACGCATAAGGGCGTGTGCATATCCGCGCACGCGCGCGTGTGTATGTGTGTGTGTATATTTACATGCACGTTTCCTAGTTCTGTCCTTGGAAAGGGGCAAGGAGCAAAGACATCCCAGGAGCAAAGAGCAGACCTAGCCCAGGTCTTGGACTGGGAGAGACTCCAAGGCCCTTCCGGGAAATGTCTGAGCCCAGAGCTGCGGCAGGACGGGGACGAGATGGCCCTGGAAACTCTTGTGATGCCAGAAAGGGAGTCTGTGCTCATAAAATGGGGAGCCGTGCCACAGGACATGGAGGAGATTCAAGGGGCTCCCACCGGCCAAATCTAGGACAGTCTGAGCAAACACTTTCAGAACAGTAATATGTTACAGGCCACTGGAAATCGGAATCCACGTGTCCGTGCCAACAGCAGACGCATGAGCTGGGGGAGTCAAAGGTTCCTCCTCGTGGTCAGGGTGTTGAGGACCAACGAGGGGACCAGAGGGGTCACTGGAGATGGGGCTCATCATTGAGCAGCCACCAGAGTGAAGATGAATTCAGACAAGGATCGCCAGTGAGGCCGTCTAGCAGGGAAATGTCGATGAGGAGCAGGGTGCTTGCTGGTTTCAGGGTCCCCCACCCACCCCAGGCTGGAGGAAAAGGATCATGATCAAGGCAGAGGAAGCAGCACCTGCTTCAGGTGGGTGACATTAACGTCCCCAGCGAGGGGCGCTAGGCAGGTTGCCACAGTGGGAGACAGCAGCCAGGCCCAGTGTTCCGTGCAGTGTCCTGCCAAAGAGGTATAACCCCCCATCTCCTCAGGGGGGACGTGAGACAAACCGGAGATGGGGAGTGGTCTTATCACAGAAAAGAGGGGGCCCTGCATCCTTAAAAAAAATCCATGTTGTGGGGCGCCTGGGGAGGGGGGCTCGGTTGGCGAAGCATCTGGCTCTTGATTTCGGGTCAGGTCATGACCTTGGGGTGATGCTCTTAGGGTCACGAGATGGAGCTTCTTGCTGGGCGTGGAGCCTGCTTGAGATTCTCTCTCTCTCTGCCCCACCCCCATCCTCTCTCTGCCCCTCAAGAAAAAAAAAAAAAGAAAAAAGAAAAAGAAAAAAGTCCATGTGTGCTTTTGACCAGAAAATTAACTACTAATGGGCTACGGTTGTCTGGAAGCCTCACCGACCTCATGAGCAGCCGGTTAACACGTTCTGTGCGCTACATGTATCGTAAACTATTCTTACAATAAAGTGAACCAGAGCAAAGAGAAGGCCATTAAGAAGATCATAAGGAAGAGAAATTACATTCACGGTGCTGCATTTACAGAAAGAAAACTGGGTCTAAGTGGGTTCCTGCGTCTCAAACCGTTGTTCAAGGGTCAACGATATTTGTATCTTTTAACAGATTTGGAATTATTTCTCAGTGAAGATTTAAAAACTAAGAACCAGCATACCACGCCGCAGTTAGAGGCAAACGACAGATGCCAGAATGACAAGGAATGAACGTCCTCGAGATCTAAAGAGCTCCTGCAGCTCGACCAGAAGATAACGGCCCCCAGCAGAAAATTGAGCAGAGGGTTCCCTGGGGGGCGCAGCGGTTTAGCGCCTGCCTTTGGCCCAGGGCGGGATCCTGGAGACCCGGGATCGAATCCCACGTCGGGCTCCCGGTGCATGGAGCCTGCTTCTCCCTCTGCCTGTGTCTCTGCCTCTCTCTCTTTCTCTCTCTCTCTGTGTGTGTGTGACTATCATAAATAATAAAAAAAAAAATGAGCAGGGGATTCCTGAGTGGCGCAGCGTTTTGGCGCCTGCCTTTGGCCCAGGGCGCGATCCTGGAGACCCGGGATTGAATCCCACATCAGGCTCCGGGTGCATGGAGCCTGCTTCTCCCTCTGCCTGTGTCTCTGCCTCTCTCTCTCTCTGTGATGACTATCATAAATAAATAAAAATTAAAAAAAAATGAGCAGAGGCGCTGTGGGGGTGCGAGGGCCCCACTGAGGACACAGACCCAGTGTGCGCCGCTGAGAACGGCGCGGGAGGGGCGGGCAGGGGCCCACGGGCCCCGGGTTCCCGGCCGAGCAGGAGCAAGGTGGATCCCAGGTGTTCCCGTGGCTATGGGGCCCCGGTCGGGCCTCCCGAGCGAGGCCACCTCCCAGGCCAGCCGGTCCCGGGGGGCTTACGGGCCGGCAGCGGAGGGGTCCCGGCGGGCGGGGGGGCACCGAGTACCTCCTCTTGCAGGCTGCGGCAGCGCGTGGCGGCCAGCTCCTTCTCGCGCAGCGCGTTGCTGTAGTGCAGGGACAGGCCGAGCATCTCGTCCTTCAGCTTGAGCACCTCGTGGAAGTGGGCGCTGACCTCGCGCTTCATGCGGTCGTGGTCGGCCTCCAGCTGGCACAGGCTCTGCGCGTGGGCCTCGGCCTGGCCCAGGCGCTCCTGCAGCTGCCGGCAGCGCTGCAGCAGCGCCTCCTTCTGCCCCTTCTCCTGGCTCAGCTCCTCCTGCAGGCTGCCGATGGCCCCGGCCAGGCACTCGGTCAGCTTGGCCGTCTCCATGAGCCCTGTGGAGGAGGCATGGGTGGGCCACCTCGCCCTCCCTCCTCACCCCCTGCCCGGGTCTTTGCTGCCCACGCCGGACCCTCAGGCAGGAGCCCCCACCCTCATCTGCGGGTCTCCTCAGAAACTCCCAGGCTCAACCAGACTCTGTGTTTTGTTATATGACAGCATAACAGGCGCGGTGGGAATCAGGATTGTCCCGTCTGCTTCCCCGTGGGACCCCGCTCTGCAGACCCAGCACACCCCCCCTGCCCCCCCGCCATCAGCTAAGATGTGCTCTGTGCTAACTCATTTCCGTGTCATCCTAAGAAAAATACAACGAGGAACACGAATCTGTATATTGGAACTCCAACCAACGGAACCACCCACTATGACGCCAAACAGGCAGAAAATCTTTCTCATCCAGGTTCTGGTGATGTTGGTCCCTTGTGTACAAAATCTTTGAACAGCTCCTCCAGGGGAGCCTCAAAAAGGCTGCCCCATCCACCCCTCGTCCCCCCCCCCCGGGGCCTCTCCCAGCAGAAGTCGCCCCCTGCACGTGAGCAAGCTGCAAGGCTGAGGCTGCCCCAGGAGCACGTAGGGAGCCCCAGGGAGTCCAGCTTCCTCTCTCCCGCAGCTGACTCTCAAATGCAGATTCCGTGTCCCAGGAGGAGTCTCCTCTTGGTACCATGTAGTTAGGGACAGATCTTTTAGAACCACAGGCCACAGAGTCTGTCTTCTACCACCTGTACCATGGTTAGTGGGGGTGTCGTCACCCCCGGCATGCTGGGGCACAGGGACAGGAACCTCAGCTGGAGAGGGGCATGGGGGGCGCGGTCAGGAGAAGCATCTAGAAGAGCATGCAGGCTCCAGAACCCAGAGGCTCTGACGAAGCCCCTGCAGAGCATCACCCCCAAGCACCCCCAGGACCCAGCCCTCACCACTGAAGTTGCTGAAGTCCACCTGGGGCTGCAGCCCAGTGACCAGGGTGTAGATGTCAGGGTTGTGGAACTTCAGGCTCTCCAGGAAGGCAATGGCTCCATTCTTCCCTCGAGTCTTCAGCAAGTCCAGTAAGTGCCCTTGGGCGAGAGAGCGGTGTCAGCCACCAAGGCTCCGGGTGGGCTCCCAGGGGTGCACCGTGGGGCGGTGGAGGAAATCCTCGCCCATCCAGGATCGGGAGGTGGAAGCAGTTTTCCAGGATCCCTGGGGCGGGGTGGGGAAGGTGCCCTCACCGCTCTCGTGGGTCCTTTCAAGTGACAGGTCCGCAGCCAGTCCCTGGAAGGGCCAGACTGATAGGCCTTGAGCAGCTACCACAACCCGAGAGCTAAGAGTTGACCATAAAAGACTAAGGAAGAGGACCTTTGCTGTCAAGACCTCCCAGGCGTTGGGTGGACGCGTGCAGACACTGCACGAAGCTCCCTGTGGCACAAAGAAAGCAAGGCCAGTGCCCCGGGGCCCAGTGAGCCCACCCGATTCCACCACTCTCAGCCCGACTTAGGGGCTTGGATTCCTTCCTCCTGTATCTGAGGTCCATAAGGAACAGGAAGAAATAAACTCCTGGTGATAGCTACCCCCACCCCGAATGCCTCCTATGGCCCTGGCTCGGAGAGGAATAGCGTATAAACCATCTCATCCAATCTCCTAACAACCCAACAGGGTGAAGCCACTCGCTTCCCTGGTTCTCAGTGAATAAACGGAGCTAATCAGACTGTCAGGACTGGCTCCAGAGACCTCTGCAGTGAGTGAATCGTGGCCCCCGCCAAAGGCACATCCACCTGGAACCTGTCAATGGCAACTTATTTGAAAAAAAGGGTCGGGACGCCTGGGTGGCTCAGTGATTAAGTGTCTGCTTTCGGCTCAGGGTGTGATCCCGGGGTCCTGGGATCGAGTCCTGCATCGAGCTCCCTGCATGGAGCCTGCTTCTCCCTCTGCCTGTGTCTCTGCCTCTCCCTCTGGGTCTCTCATGAATAAATAAATAAAATCTTAAAAAAAGAAAAAAGGGTCCTTGCAGATGTAATTACAGCAAGGATCTCGAGATGAGAACAGCCTGGACTACCCAGGGGGGCCCTACATCTGCTGAGTCCAATGACAAGCACATTCATAAGAGACAGAAGAGGAGACACGGAGAAGGCCACGTGAGGACAGAGGTAGACACCGGAGGGACGTGGCCACCAGCTGGGGACCACCTGCGGGCCCCCAGCAAGAGGCAGGAAGGGTGCGCCCCTGGACACCTCAAGGGAGGCAGCTCTGCCCACACCTGGATTCCAAACTATGAGCAAATACATCTCTGCTGGTCTTGTGCCATTTGTCATAGCAGCTCTGGGGACACACTACAGTGTCCCCCGGGTCTGGAACGCAGGTCCCTAAAGTCCTGCACTTCTGACACCGGGCTTCGCGCAGCACAGCCTGTGTGGAGCTGGCGTGACAGGAAGCTGAGCTGGCCCGGCAGGCCCGAGGCCAGTGGCGTGGGCCCGGGGGGATCCTCACCGACTCGCATGACGGTGTTGGTGAACGTGGGGCTGTGCAGCACCTCCTCCTCGTCCAGCTGGTCCAGCACCTTCGCCTGGCGCAGGTAGGGGGTGAGGCGACTGGGGCAGATGCTGCGCACGATCTTGTGGCGGTGGCTCTCCATCATCTCCCACAGCGTCTCCTCGTCCAGAGCCGTCAGTGTGGACTCGGTGCGGCGCAGTGCCGCCATGGCTGGGCACCCCGGGACGCTGGGAGGGAAGGGTGGTGGCCACAGAGCCTGGAACACGTGGAGGCCTTTCCAATCAAACCCCCTTTGCCCAGGTCATTAGGTCGGGGAGGAAACAACCCATCTGGAGAGGATGGTGAGCTCGCCCTGGCCCTGGTGCCCCATGATCGGGGCAGGGGGGCCGGTGGTGATTATTGAGGATCCATCCTTATGGATGATTTCAAATCAATTCCTCGTCTATCTGGAGAAGAGCAGAACTGGTTTCTTTTGGTGTCAGGAAGACACTGCATTTGCCTTTAAAGCGCAGGGAACTGCCCTCGACCCCGGGAAGCTGATTTACAAGATTGATCTAGAACATGCATTCTCCACGGGGGCGATAGAGCCCCCAAGGGTCGAAAACTGGTTCTTGGGTGAGAATTCTTATATGTGCAAAGCACAGTTGTGCATAAACAGATGTTCAGTACACCTGTGATGGTATCTTGCGGGAGCACAGGGAGGGAGGAGATGTCTCCCAAGGCTCCTTAGGGACGAGGATGGCAGAAGGTTGAGGGACACTGTCCTGGAATAAATGGGAGGGTTTGGAGGCCCCATCTGGCACCCCAGCAACCCGAGGGGGCACCCACAGTCCCAGTGAGGGGGTCGGGGGCGATCATCTGGGAAGTAGGGCTGGGGGAAGGAAGAAAACACACCACTTTCCCTTGGTGTGAAAAATCAGGACACTTGTCCTGAGACACTCAGGACACATGCTAGGGAATGACCCCTTGGAAAGGAATATTCCAAAGCATTTTTAAACTAAAACAGGGATGCCCGGGGGGCTCAGTGGTTGAGCGTCTGCCTTCGGCTCAGGGTGTGAACCTGGGTCCTGGGATCGAGTCTTGCATCGGGTTCCCTGAAGGGAGCCTGCTCCTCCCTCTGCCTGTGTCTCTGCCTGTCTCTGTGTCTCTCAGGAATAAATAAATTTAAAAATAAATAAATAAATAAACAAAACCAAGGACTCAGAGTAAGTCGTAAAGAGCACCAGCTCCTGGCCGGCAGGGGGTGCGGATAAAAGATGGGCAGGTGTCCGAAGGGGCTCAGCTGCACCGGATCTGGGCAAACTCCCTGGCTAGGGTCACAAGCTCTCAGTCTAGGTAGAGATCACGAAGCTGCTCACCCTTAAAGTACCTGAACAGGGGCCCTGGGGGAAGGGGTATTGACACTGTCTAATCCTCTGTTGGGAAGACCTTGGAGGGCACCACCCAGCCTCTCACCCACGGAACATGCCCTGGGCACCCTCGGCTCTGCAATGAGCCACCTCCATAGCTGCGTCCCTGCCTAAGTCTCTTTCCTCCCTCCTGGCCCTGGCACAAGGTCACTAGACCATTAATCCATCTAAATCATCCTAAAATGCTTATAAATCCTGGACTGGTTCAAGCATATATTTTGTCATTGTTTTTTATTTTTTTGTTTCATTTTATTTTATTTTTTTAAAGATTTTATTTATTTATTCATGAGAGACACAGATAGAGAGAGAGGCAGAGACACAGGCAGGGGGAGAAGCAGGCTCCATGTAGGGAGCCCGACATGGGACTCGATCCCGGGACCCCAGGATCACACCTTGGGCCGAAGGCGGCGCTAAACCGCTGAGCCTCCGGGGCTGCCCTGTTGTTTTTTAGAGCGCAAGAGCCGGTGCAGAGCCTGACGCCGGGCTCGATTTCACAACCCTGAGATCATGACCTGAGCTGAAATAAAGAGTCAGATTCGAGACACCTGCATGGCTCAGTGGTTGAGTGTCTGCCTTTGGCTCAGGTCATGATCCCGGGATTCGGGATCGAGTCCCACGTGGGGCTCCTGTGAAGAGCCTGCTTCTCCCTCTGCTTGTCTCTGCCTCTCTGCCTCTCTCTCTCTCTCTCTCTCTGTATCTCTCATGAATAAATAAATAAACCTTAAAAAAAAAAGAGTCAGATTCTCCACTGTCCGAGCCACCCAGGAGCCCCTAGTTCGAGCCTATTTAAAAAGTCCCGCAGGCACACAACATACCCATGCACCCTTCACGCAGAAGCAGCAGTGGGCACCTCAGATTCCTCACTGAGGAGTCACCCTGGTCCCGCTGGCTGCAGCCTGGCATCCGTCTGTACCCAGAGGACCGTGCCAGGCCACGACCTACACCTGTACGTGTCTACAAATAGGCACCCACTTTTACGGGATTCTTTTGTGCAAAGAGCGACTGTACATAAACAGTATCTTTACTGTTGGCTCTAACTTTCTGTAACAGTGTCAGGCTGGGCATGCTGCTAGCTTGCAGCTCCAGCTCCGCGTCCCTGAGGTCTGGCAGGTGGGTGCGTGCACCTGACACATACTCCTTCCTTTGTTTACCTGTGGCTGGATTCAATGATATGAGCAAAGCACAGCGGCCTGTGGGCCAGCGTTAGGTCCCTTCCACTTTTCCCCCGTCATTGCCAGTGCGCCAGTGATGACCTTGGGCGTAGACGGGGGGCCTTCCTCTCAGACACCTGCATCCCTGTGATTTGGTTCTTTTCATTTGGAATAACAAGCCGGACCAGGTGGAGTCAAGTGCCTCCCGAAGAGGTCTGTGCGCTAAAAACGCTGGAAAGCCAGAGCTAACCAGCCCTCGTCAAGTAAGAGAAGTGGAAAAGAGTGGCCAGGGGTCCTCGTGACGCGGGAACGGCCCCCCACGATCCCCACGAGGAGCCCGGGCTGCAGCGAGTGCTCACCCAGAGATGCTCACGCTGGTTTCCACGGGCGCCCCTCGCGGTGGGCTGGGGTCTGGTGTCCCTCCGTGGCCAGGTAGGACGGGGCCCGGGGTGGGAGGGGGCCCTAGCCCTCCAAACCTGGGCCGCCGCGGGCTGTCTGCTTCCTCAAGCCCCGTGACTTGCTCCACAATTCAAAGCTCAGGCACCGAAGACTAATGCAAGGAGGAAGGGGAAAAAGGCGGGCTCTCATCCAGGAAATAACTTGACAGATCTTTGACCTCTGAGGTTTGCTCAGTAACTGTAGATACTTCCTTGGGGCTTGGAAGTGGGTTCCTGGAAGGAAACCAGGGTGTGAACCGTGGGACCGCTCCCCCTGTGTCATGGGCCCCTCTGGGACTGTGGTGATGGTTGCTCATATCTACGAATGTCCTAAAAGCCATAAATTGCACCCTTTAAATGGGTGAATTGTGTGGCACATGAATCATATTTTTTAAAACTTTTTTTTTTTTAATAAAAAGTTCCCAGAGCTGCCAGTAACTACCCCCCTGCTTCCCTGTGGCCCTGTTCCCCACCAGGATGCAGAGGAGGCTGGGTGGTAGGGAGGTGTCCTGAGTAGCTGGCCTGTCCCCCTGAGGCCAGCACTGGCCACCCTTGGCCCATGGGACACCAGCGCCCTGTTCTTCGTGCCTTCAAGTCCAGGCTGAGCCCGCAGGTGCCCTGGCCGTCGGGTGCCCCAGCCAAATTCCGTCTCTGCCCCAGACGTTCCCTGGCAGCCTCCTCCCCTCTGTCCCCTATGCTTGCTCATTCCAGCATCCGTGCTCCCCTCGGCTGCCCGGCGCCCCCAGGAGCAACCCCCATGTGCGTGCAGCTGTCTTCGATGACATCGGGGACACTGCATGAGTGCAGCTGCCTCTCCCCGCATCCAGCTCCGACTCTGGGACAGAGTCAGCATATAAAATCAGTCTGAACGGTAGAAGGTGGAAAGTAAACACTTTTTGCCAGACCCTTTGAAAGATGGCAGGTGAGCCCCGAGACTGACGGGGTGGTGCGAGGGATGAGGGACCCCGAGACTCCTGCAGCCCCCGTGATGGAACCAGGGAAACGGTCTCGAGGACTTTCCCCCACGAATTGCTCGTCTCAAGAGAAAAAAAACTCGGGGTAAGTCTGCTGGGGTGAAAGAAAGCACCCCGCACTCCTACGACTCCCACTGAAGAACGCTCAGCAGAGGTGGGCTGGGCCCTCCGGGGGCCGAAGAAAGCGGGGACCCCAGGCTGCGCTCCTCATGTGCGGGGGCGGGGGCACTGGGTCTGTTTAATTTCAGATCTGGCCCCGGAGTCCGCAGGACCCCCACGGAAGGTCTGGTGGCACTTGGGTTTTCACGGACGCCTGCTCCCATCAGCGTGAACACGGAGAATCAGGACCAGCTCACGCTACCTGCGGCCCCACCGGGGCAGCTGAAGACAGAGGTCTCTCCAGGACTCTCTAAACCCCAGCCAACTGCCGTGGGTTCCTGGGACCCCTAGGCCACACTGGGGTCGGGTGGAAGCGGGTGTAGCCGGGTAGCAGCCACTCGGGACCACGCTTCGTGCAGTGAAGCAGCTTATAACGAAACCCCAAACGGCAATGCAACATGTGGGGGTGTCTTTGCAGCTCCCTTCTGATTTACACAGGGGTTAGTCCTAACAGTAAAGAAAATGTACCCCGGAGATCCGTCAGGATATTTTAAATCGTGTAAAAGTCTTCTCTAACCCTGCTGCAATCCTAGAGAGAACCCAAGGTTGTATGAGGCCTGAGCTTCTGAGATTGGGGGGTCCTCCTGCAGGATGCCCCATGCCTCCTTGTAGCTCAGAGCTCAGTCTTGCCTTATGTGTAACGGAGAGAAGGAGAAAGCGTATACACCCTCGAGCACACACATACACAGACACACACACGTGCCCACACGCACCCGTGCAACGCACAGGACTCCAGAACGGGAGGGGATGAGCTTAGGAAGGCTTAGGAAAATCAGTATAAATCTAATAAACACGACAGGTGAGGCGGGTGGTCACCAAGCAAAGCAGGCGCTTTCCTGCACCCCTCAGCTAAGGGCCCTCACCTCTGCTCCCCCCTAAATGTCTCTGTGTCCTGACCACCGGTAGGTAGAGGCAGCTGGGCTTAGGAACCCCCTTTCCCTGCTTGCATCTGGGGCCACCACATAGAGGTAAGGCGAGTGTTCTTTCATCTATCACGCCCGCGCACCCAGGGTGACACTCAGCAGCCAGAGAGCCTTCGCGTCCTCTAACCCGTCCCCTAACCGAGCCCAACGGGAAGAGCTGGCTCCTCCGCTTCCACAAAGCAGGCCCCTCGGCTCCTTCCCAGGCTGCAGCCTCTCATCCCCCGAGGACGAGGACGGCTCCCGGGGCCCCATCCCGGCCTTCCTCCCTCCCCCGGCGCTGACCTGCTCTCCTGGGGACGTCGCCATGCCCTTGGCCTTCCTTGTCGCGGAGGAGCTTGGCTGACCTGAGACTCCCTCTGGCTCAGCAGCCGACGAGAGGAGCAGGTTTGGCAGGTCCGTCCTTCTGGGCCCTGCCCGCGCCCGCGCCCACCTTGGGTCTCTGCGGATCGCCGGGGCGCCAACACCTTCTCACGGCAGGGAGGACACATGCGGAGATGGTTGGCTTTTGTCAGCACCTTGGGAAACCTCCGGAGGCGGTGACCTAGAGGATGACGGAGAATCCGGGGTGCAGGGAATCTTCTCCGTGAGCGCTTGGCCTCGTTTATGGTAAATCCCTCGGAAAGATCCTAGGAAGGCCGGGATGAACCTGGAGCCCTTCGCCGGTTCTCGCCAGCAACTGCGGGGAGAGCTAAGCAATTCTGGTGGATCCCCCTAAAGTCCGCATTCGATAACTACCATTTGGGGTGAGACAAAAGTCTTGGTCTTCTGTGTTTAGACCTAACCAGAATCCGGTCCCTCCTACCCCTCGCACCAGTGTGTCCCGCCCTCTGCAATGACCTCCCAGCCGCCTGCCACCACCCCCGACCCCCCACAGGGGCAGGCAGGGCCATACTGTTCCCGGATGAGCCAGGGCATGTCATTCCCTTCTGTCTACATGTCCTCATGTCCTCACCAAGACCCACAGGGTCTTTCTTATCTCATACTTGCTGAGATCATATCCATTTATCTGCCCCCCACACGGGGGCTGCTTCAAAGCCTTTGAAAGCCCCAGGCAGACTCCAGCCCCAGGACCTTTGCACTTGTGATTCCTTCAGCCTGAAATGCTCTTCCCTTTGCCTCCTTCAGGACTCCACTGAGGAGCCATCTTCCCAGAGAGGCCCTTGCAGGACATTCTACTTAAAATCATGGGCTCCCCACCTGGGTGCTCCCTCCCCTTTACCCTGCTTCTCTCTTCTCTGTTGGGCCCCCTGCTTCCTAAGGTTTGATATCTTCCAGCTACAGGCTGGTGTTTCACCTGCCTCCCCGCGATGAGCCTGCAGCCTCCAGGGGACGAGAATTCTCGTCTCTCCCGTTCTCCGCCGTGACGCTCCATTCGGGTGGGTTGGGGGAACGAGTAAGCATCAGCTGGGTGCCTGGTTCCCACCCCGGCAGAGGCTAGTCGAGAAAGAAGAGAAGTTCAAGGCTCCGTGGATGGAGCAGGAAGGACCGTAGGATCATCATGCCAACAGACAAGGGTCAGTTCCCAAGGTCACGCAGCTAGGCGATGGTGGAACGGCGACCAGAACCCAAACCTCCTCCCTGGGGAGGACAAGGACGAGGCTGTGGCCCCCCCGGGGGGAGCTGGCAAGAGCTCGGATCAGAGGTCAGACTCGATGCAGGCTCGGAGTCCGGAGTCGCCGTCCTGCTGCACGTCGGCGGTCCCCTTGGGCAGGATATTTAAACTCCTAAGCCTTGGCTTTCTTCCCTCTCCAGTGGGGTTGACTGTGGCACCTGAATCACGCTGGGAAAGCACTTCTCACCATGCCTGGTGTGTGGAAAGTTCTAGATAGTTATCAAAAACTCAAAGAAATGCCATTGTTCTAAGTCAGAGCGGAGGCCAGTGGCACGTACTGATGGTGGCTGGGAACTCGAGAAGCCCCTGCTGAAAGGGACAGAAATCCTGAGAGCTGTGGGCACAGAGCTGGGGAAGGCCCCCCCCCGCCCGTTCCCAAAGGGTCATGAGCTCAGAAGGAGGGCAAAAACCATTTCTCAGTCACCATGGCAATGGTCAGGTGGACCCCGGCTGACAATTTTCCCACACTTCGGAGGTCAAGAAAGCAGTATTTGTGGTAACCTTGGCTTGGTTGAAAGAGTGTCTCCTGGAGGAGCACCCCGAGGAGGGAGCAGTGGGGTGCGCTGTGGGGTGGGGGACCCAGGTGGCATGAGGACAGCACCACCTAGTGACCACATCCCATAGCAGGGATCCCTAATCACCGCCAACCCCCAGGGGCCAGCCACAGAGCACCTCCAGGTGACACTTGATCCACAAAACATAGGGAGGCCGAGTGGGGGGCTCCTGGGCTTGCCTCGCCGTCAGGATGCCGGCAGCACGTGGAGGTGCAAGCGCCAGGGACACGGAGGTCTCGCGTGAATAAAACCAGACCCTCAACAGAGAACTGGAGCTCGAGTCGAGGACGGGGCCCTGCAGCCCCACCGCCCGGCAGGGGCGGGTCCCAGATGGAAGATGACATACTGTAAATGGGGACTATGCTTCTTCTCTCTTCCCACTAATGCTGGGGAGGATTCCAGAACTTCTAGACAGTTCTCAACCGCAAGCTGGAGACCATGGGGCGAGGGTCCCTGGCGGGCAGGCGGGCGGGGCTGGTGAGGCTCTGCAGCCTCTAGAGTCCTGACCCGGCAGGGCGGACCCCACACCCCCTGTGGCCCCACCAACGCAGACAGTGGGCTGACGAGGGCAGGAAGCAGCTGTTCCCATAGGAGCAGGTAAAACCAGTCACTCTCTGTTACTTGTCCTATTCACACACGCAACCACCTGCCTGAGAGCCCCACTTGCACGTCTGGGCGTCTCAAATCCAACCCAGCGAAATCAGGTTCCCCTACAAGAATTTTTGTTAATTAAGGTGAAATTCGGGGATCCCTGGGTGGCGCAGCGGTTTAGCGCCTGCCTTTGACCCGCGCGATCCTGGAGACCCGGGATCGAGTTCCGCGTCCGGCTCCTGGTGCATGGAGCCTGCTTCTCCCTCTGCCTGTGTCTCTGCCTCTCTCTCTCTCTGTATGACTATCGTAAATAAATAAAAAAAAATTAAGGTGAAATTCACACAACATAAAATTAACCATTTTATTTATTATTATTATTTTTCTATTATTATATTATTTTGTGGGGCCTGAACTTACAACCTTGAGATCAAGAGCCTCACGCTCTACTGACCGAGCCAGCCAGGCACCCCTAAAGTGAACCGTTTTGAAGTGAAGCCTCCCGTGGCCTTTAGTGCAGCCACAGTGCTGTGCAAACATCACCTCTAAATACAACACATTTTTTGTCACCCCAAGAAGCAGCCCTATGTCCACCGAGCAGCTCCTCCCCTCGTTCCGGGCGCCACTAATCTGCTTCCCGTCTCTATGGATTTGCCCCTTCCGGACATTTCGCAGAATTGTACACGTGTGACCTTGTGCGTCTGGCCTCTCTTCGCTCAGCATAATGGCTGAATAATTAATTCCACCCGTCGTGGGGCCCGACCACCCTGTGTTTATCCACTCATCCGTCTGCGGACACGGGGCTGTTCCTGCCTCTGGCGATCGCGAGTGGTGCTGCCTGCTGCACACGTGCGCCGTGGGGCTACGGGTTTTGCCCCCAGGGGACCAGCCGCTGCTGCCCCTCCGACGATCACACCAGAAACCCCGGAGTCAGCCTCAGTCCCCGTGAGCCTTGACAGCTCCTGTGCACTGCGCCCATCAGCCCCGTCCTCCAGCCCCAACTCTCCGGAGGCCTCCCCTCCCCGCTCCGCTGGCCCGGCCCCGGCGGCCACCCGTCCGGCAGGGCTCTGCGGCCCACAGACCAGCCTCTTGACCTCTCGCCGCAGCCGGGTCATTTGTCAGCATGCAGTCCTCTCTTCCCAAAGATCACCCTGAAGCGGCTCCCGTGGCAACCGGAATGCATCTGAACCCCAGCCACACCCTGTATGACCCCCTATGATCTGGCCTTGCTCGCTGCTCCCACCTGACGCCTGCCCACGTTCACGATGCACACCCGCCTTGGCTCTCCGTCCTTTGCGCCAATCCCCTGCCCGTCTGGAGTCTTTACAGTCACTGCCCCTTCTTCCTGGAACACTTCCTCCCTGGGGTGCCGCCGCGGCCACCTCCTTTAATAACTTACAGGGTGCTGTTCTCCTGTCACCCGGTAAATCAGTGACCCATTCGTTCTCTTCCACTTTGTTTTTTTTTTCCCCCATCACAGCAATGATAAAACCTGCAATTATCTTACTGGTCTGCATGTTTTGTAGGGCTTGCCCTCCTATGGAGCACAAGCAGCGTGAGGCAGTGCCGTCTGTCCTGCCCGCCACCGATCCGGCACCTGAATGGTCAGAGATGCTCTCGTACTCCTGCCACCCGAATGCTGGACGCCGGCAGCGTGTAGTCTAGGGTCCAGCCACCGGGTTCAGGAGTTTAGTGAGGTGTCCCCCCTTAACCAGGTGGGGCTAGGGCAGTCCGTGCCAGGAAGGAACAGGTGATGGGCAGGGATCCCTGGCAGGAAGTCCATCTTTGGGGACAGCCCCTCCGATGGAGGGCAATAACTCCTGTGCTGATGATTCACGGGAGCCCAGCCCAGCAGCACTACACCCAAACCTCCTTCTGCCCCTGGACAAGACAAGCCACTTGGACTGTCTCCACCCTGAGGCTGGCACAGGTACAGGGAAAAGGAGAAGGTGGGCTCCTGTGGTGTGAACCACAGATCCGTTCCTGTCTTCCCCTGTTGAGCTGGGATGAGCTCAGGGATCTCAACAGCCAGAGCCATCTGCGTCCCTCCCGCCCTCTTGCTCTACACATCCAGGCACATCTATGGTGCACTCGGACGGCGATGGGGAGGCAACAGACCTGGGGCCCTACCCTCCCTGCAATTAGTCTAATCTGGTAACCTCCCTCCCCCAGGTAGAAAGGGTGTGGGGGTCAGATGCAGGAGACAGAGGAGGTATTGCACCCAAAAGGAATGGGTGGGTCCCCTGTGGTGACCTAAAGTCCTGGGATTAGGCCCCTGGGGCTGATGAGCCATCTAAGTCCATTTCTTAGGGGACTCAGAGTGGGGCCCTCTTCTAGCCTGTACCTTCTAGCTGGAATTGTGATTGGGGTTTCTGAAGGAAGGGAAACATTAATCTGGATGTCCAAGCAGCGGAATTGGGTACCGACAGGCAAGCCGGGCTGTCAGGTCTTGCGTTATAAGTAGATGCTTATGCCCAACATTACACGGTTACGGGGAGCAAATACGTTAACAAATAGTGCAAGTAACTAAAGCATGTTCCCAGTACACAGCTGACTAGATGACACTTCTTACGGGAGATGAAGCAAGATGCGTTTCAGATCCTACTGACCCTTCGGTGCCTGTTGCATAGGCTCTGTGAAAACTGGCGCAGCACTGGAGCGGAAAAGCTCTCCTGAGAGGGACTCTCTCTGGACTGCAACTGCCAGGGGGCGTCTGTCCTACATAATAAAAACACGGCTCTGCTGTGATCTCTTGAACCCACTTCCAGCTCCAAGCTCCCTAGAGTGGACTCACCCTCCTTACCCTCCCGGAGGCTTCGTGGT